TGGGCTGGTGTGATTGTGATACCGATGGTGTGGAGGGAAACGCGCGCTAAAACGGTTTACAGCTGCCTTCACCCTCGACTTCCATGCTGATGCACGGCGCAGTCCAAGGAAGAGGCCAGCATGCTTTCTTGTCCGTTGTTCACTCGAGATTTTTGCTTTCTCCTTTCTGTACGAATGGCTGTTCCTTCGCCTCACCAGCAGCATAATGGCTATGCCTTATACATTGTAGATATTTTAGCGAGTGCAGCGCACACTAGCTTTGCCAAGGTTGTCTAGCGCTCCTTGCGAGCACTGTCCTCTCTTCTCATTACATGTACCGGTACAATCATAGTGTTACTGTGAGTGAAATAGAAAGGTTTCAAGCTGTCCAAAAGAGTGCTCAATCCCCAAAGGCAGAGCGCTATTTTACGACAAGTGGAAGAGGATGACTAATTCGTTGTCACTGCCGATAGACTGCCATCACGAACATACCTGCACTTGCCCGACCGCAGCCGTTTCGCTGCCACACTGGTGCTGCGAGTGGTGTCTATGACAGGATATCGTTATTGCCTTACTGCCTGAGGCCCTCTGTAAGGGGCCATCCGTAATTATCGATCTTTTTCACGAAACGAAAAAGTTTCGTTTATGGGTGGGTGGGTAGCGACCGGTTTCGTTTTGAAAAAACATCGAAAGCGGAAAAAATCAACGCTCACTGGATGTAGATCTACATTGAAGTAGATCGACAGTACGTCACGCGGATGCACTGATACCACTCAGTACTCAGTGCAGTGAGTTCCTTTCGTCCCCGTCCTCGGATGACTTCTCCGACGAGGACCAAGCAGTCATCATGGTCATTCACTCTGGGACCGACGACAGATAGATGAATATTTCGTTCCAGCCGCCGATGCAAGAGAGTTTCAAATTACGGAGCGGGGCGCACGCCAAGTAAACTCTCACGCAAATATGGGGAGCGCCAGCCGCTGAAGACGATGTCGTCGCAATGTATCTGGAAGAATCTGATCGTGCTTATGGTGGGGAAGCCATGGAGAGTGATCCCCGTGTCGACAGTCTTCCAGAGACGGAAATTTAGGCCATCGACTTTCTACGTACTGCAAGTACCTGATTGACGGCAGCGCAGCGCGGCGTGCGTGCGACCTTACGGAGCTTTCCGACAGCGATTCTGGGGCGATGCTGCTCTCATTTGCGAACGAGGCACGACCACTGAAGTCTGTGATAGCTATGGCGTTTGTTTCCGCTCCGAAGTCGACTTGTTTTGGCAGTATTATGTCAATGTCGGAACTCTGACGATTTGCAAGTGTACAATTCCCGTGTTTAGACGTACGTAGAGGTGCTCATTTTGTGGTAGGTGAAAATAAAATGTTTCCATGGTCAAGAAGTACAATATACATTTGTATAGTACCAGACTTCCAAGAAAACATACTTGTAACTAAATACTTACTTGCACAATCACACAAAATTAAAATGTGGCCTCAATGTGTTGTATACGTGTAACAGCCAATCAAGATCATTTTCTGCACAAAGTCTCAAGTCAATTAATTTTTTCGTTTCAGGGGGGTGGGTGGGGGTGGGTCATAACTAAACTTTTTCGTTTCGTGAAAAAGATCGATAATTACGGATGGCCCCTAAGTGTGTGCCACCTGTGTTTTGAAAAGAATGTCCGCTGCGAAGATTGCGCTTCGTCTTCGTCGCTCTCGCTCCTCTTGCTATGATGCGAAACTGATGCTCTTGACAATGGCTTGTTGTAAAAGTACTACCGGTATTTTCTTTTTGTGCACTTTGCATGCAGAGTGCATGCAGAGTGCATGCAGTACGCGATACGATCAAACAATAATTTTATGACCCAACCATGGTTATGGACTCTTGCTTACGGTAGTCTGATTCTTGGTACAGTGAGTAGCATGGTGTTCTCCGCTTCCTGTAGGCTACTACTAGTATTAGTAGGAAGGAGGAGAAAACGAGTAGATCTACGACGACTAATACGTGAAATACCGGTATATGATGGTTTGTTGGTGACGGTGGAACGTTACTACTCGAAGTAATAGTAAAATACAATGTAATAAGTAGTAACCATGGCCATCGACACGTCAAAGATCAAGCGTCCACGAGGACGACCGAGGCGTCGGTGGATTGATGTGGTGAAATCCGACATCTTCCCTCTCGGACACACGCTCGAGGATTGCCTCAACACTGCACGGGACAAAAAGCTATGGCTGGACTTCATTGACAAAATGTACATCGGTGTAAAAAAATGGCATGTACTTGTCATGTGCTAGAACCTGTATATGGTTTTTTTCGTATGCTATTCTTCCTGCTGTAATCTATTTCATGATGAAACAGTTGACAGATGCGTGGAACCCATTATTTGGGAGACATGCGACCTGTACTATTATTAGTATAGACTCGCGGAGTTCGAATTCATCCTACTGAGGAGTTGAAGATGATGGTTGTAGGCCAAACTTGTTCGGGATCGGTTGCCTACTTTTTCTACATACATTTTAGTCATGGCTGTTACTCTCTCGCATCTTTAGCTCATTTGGAACACGTACTCACAAAGATCTGGAAACAAGGTCGTCCTTTGGCTTTTGTGACCCTGACCTCATGTAGATCTACAGTGTTGCCTTCAGTCAGCGATAGACAGCGGGTGTTTTGGAAGCGTCACGCTTGTACTGTCTAGACGAAGGAAAGAATGTTGCTGTTGGTCTCATTCGTATTTCTTCTTGGTAGAACGTACGCTTTTTTGACTCGTTCCGTTCCTTTTGTTTTATCGTCCGCTGTGTTTTTCTGTGTAGTGAAAGATCCGAGGCGAGTTTCTGATCGTGAAACCATGATATATCGTGCAGTGTTTACTCGTGATGACCACAGTTTTTACGAGGTAGGATGCTTGGTGGTCGTACTAGTAGTCTCATGTGTCTGTCTCCTTCCCTCAGTCCGGTCTCCTCCTCCTCCCCCCCCCCCCCCGATTCAAACTCTTCCATGCCTGTGCATGGGCATGATGCAACGGACATCCACTCATGGTCCATACTGGTTATGCCTGTGGTCTGTGCTTTCTAGCTGTCTGGGGATATGAGAGGTTATTTTTCTCACCATCTACACACTGCGGCTGAGGCCGATCCTGAGAGTTCGATGGTTTGCAGAGGCCTAGTGTGCATGGTGAAACTAGGCTAGCAACCAGTTGAGGTGTCTAGCGCGATGTCCTTGAGGAAACATCCTGTGCAGTGGGAAGTTCGCCCCTAATTCTTATCTGGTGAGTGTATTATCTCGCCTTCGACGGATGCCTTATTCCTTGGGTAGATTGTTCCATTGCATCCCAACTCCATCTATTCCTTCAGTGCTTTGCACTGATTCAGATTGCAGGAATTGGATATTAATATTGGACAGCCATACCTGTTTGGTATCGATGTGAAATAAATGAGAATACATTGTAAACATCCTGCTTTTCAGAGTTCATTTCTACTAAGAGTAGAACACGGTATTGCTACAAACATGCCTCTATCCATAGCATGGCCTCAGCAAAAATTAATGTGAATTTGATAGACTAAAATCTGTGGTGTTGAAGCGCTGAAAACTGAAAACGTTCATGATTATGGTGACCAAGTGTAAAAAACGTCTTTTTTTTCTTCTTTTTTTTCAATCTTGGGTAGATTGTTCCATTGCATCCCAACTCCATCTATTCCTTCAGTGAAAAAAAAAACGTCTTTGAAGTGTGTTAAGTTTTCGATTTCAGGTAGCAGGCATGCGGACGGCAACTGAATTTGGCGAATGTAATGTTTTTGAGAACTTTTAGTAATTTTGAGGCATCCTGTAGCTTCATCTGTAGAAAGTAATTGGGTAAATGAATGTATCCACCCAACTATATGTATGTCCTAGTAATCATTAATTTTGTGGTTTGTGGTACATCATATCATGCCACCGTATAAACTCATAACTTCTTGATGTAACCTGTATGACTGATTGTGTTAAAATATCTTTCAAATATACTTGTAGCTTCACCAACGCGAAAGCTTCTGTGGAATATCTCCACTTTACTACAGTGGTAAGTAACTAGTAACCCAATATCTGCTCTCGGCTTGTCTTTTCTCGATACCTTCCATTCCTGCGGTACAGTCGGTGAGGTGAGGGGAATGTCTCCAGATTACTGTGCGCTCCTTTGTGGTGCACTTCCGCAATGGACTTGAAGCGCTACAGGTACGGTGGGCAGTGCGTCCTGCTCAATGTGATAGGCAGTGGTGTCTGCTGGTATTATGTTCAACTATGGCATTGCGGTTGCAATGCTCCTGCTGCATGTAATAGAACTGATAATTCTTGGGCGCCGCAGAACCTCCGGCATGCAATAATATCTGGTGCACTGGGAAATCGGTGTCAGATAAGGGCCGGTTTGATTTCGATCCCTGGCCAGAAAGCATGCAGCTTTTCACGATTTTGTTGAAGTGCAGGATGATCTGTGCCGAATGATTTAACGTTTTTACAAGTATAATGTACATGGTTACAGAATGTGATATGGCCGCCAGCGCCCTTGGAAACCAGCATCAGCTGCACTATTCTCTTGTATACAGTATTTTCTTCCGGAGCAACAATGGTAACTTGAATCACAGTGTAATCCACAGTGATTCTCAAAGAAACCCACGATCACGCGAGTCGAGTACCGTCGAGGACATTGAAATCCGATTGGGGCCGGCCCCCTTGCTGCTTTTAGCGTGTACATGCAAAGACTCTGTACAGTGTAGTTCACGTCACGCACACTGTAAAAATGGACCAGCCGTGCTCGCGGCTGGAAGGCCAACGCCCAGTGCCAGTGGGCGCTTCACTTCTCAATGGATATCAGTGTCCGCTGCAGTACATGCCGGGTGCAGCGCAACATTGGAATATTCACGCGTACAAGCAGCGCAAACCCGATTCATTTGAGGTTCCATCGAGCAGCACTGTGAGCCACACATAGACTGCGGAACATGGACAGTGTAAATGCTGTAAGACATGTTATTACTTGTATAACGAGTCGCAAATTTAACGGTTGTCCAAAATTCATAGGTTAACGAGAAGAATTGTTAACGATCTTGCAGTATTCCGGCATACCCACGCACAACATATATGAAGCAGTACGGCCTCAACGGATCTTATCATAACGAAGAAATGTCATCCGTTAAAACGTTACATTTACTTCCTCGTTATAATTATTATATACATGTTTTACAGTAGGATAATCTGTGACTCTGCTCCCCTGGACCCCCTGCGTTCTTCAGGGCCAGGCATTTCTGTGCATTAATTTCCGATCGGATACAGGAGCAGGATGCTCTCAGGATAATGCCGATAATATATCTGCGCTGCTAGACTAGACAATAAAGAGAATACAGAATCCATCCATCTGAGTGATGGATATCGTTTCACACATGGACTAGCTCATCAACTCTTGATAACAACAATCTCTAGACAGGTAAAAGCAAGGTAGACAGTTGACCGATGTTCGCTGCCGGCTCAAGTACACAGGAATTCTTTCAACATGCTCAGAGAACCACCAGATTGCAAATCAAACAAAAAATCAATATCTTGTGTTGAATAATGAATATAACGCTGTTATTGATCCACCGCATGCCAGCGCTTTACAAGTCCACAGTCGGCCGGTCAACGAGCACAGTCATACAAACTACACTACTGGCATGGACATGGAAAACCGGTCTCAGGTCAAGCGGCCCGAGGGCGCTGGCCATACAGCTGTGAGTGCGCATGCGGTCAACATGCGATCAACATGTGTATGTACGTTGCATGCAACGTTCTGTACGCACTGTGGGCGCCAGCCCCGGTCATTCGACCGGACGTCCATGTCCACGACAGTACTGTCCACTAATCTGCAGTGCACATGGAATCTTGTGACGCACTCATGCTTTTGTAATGTGTGTATTGCTCAGAGGTACCGTTCACTGCGCCGTCCTCCTCTATACTCTTATCCATGGCTAGCGTACCTTCACGGAATGCGGACCAGTTGTAGAGTGGAGCGACTGCATGGAGACAAGTGCGTGGCGATTACTGAGTGTGGGCGTAGCAACTTGTTGCGATGCGAGAGATGGCCGGCCATTGCTCTTCGTAGTGGAATCATTGCTGCTGGTCGCTGGGCGCTTGTAGTTCTCCGTGAATCCAAACTGGGTCCAGTAGACGCGTGGCAAACACAGTGTGATAACAGCGGCGTAGTGATATGCCATGATCACCAGACTGATGACCACCATTCGGAGATCCAGCTCGGTGTTCAGCAAAGCCGGCAGGAATGCTAGCAGAACGATGGTACAGATACTGCTGGTGACCATGATGAGCTTGGAGTCGTTGTAGTCGTCGGGAAGGCTGCGTGTTTGAAAGGCAAGATAGAAGGCAAGTATGTTCACTGCCACAAAGCAACCCAGGAGCACACCATTGGCGATGGCATTGTCCCGGCATGAATACCCAGCGTGCTGCTCGTCAACAAACACAAGCTGCGGTGCTGCCGGAAGTGCTTCCCGCAGAGCATAGTACAGAATGCAGAAGAGGAACGTGAAGAACAGTATGAGAAACACCTGGCCCTCGTTGCTGAGCAGTTTGCGGCGAAGTCCGCCACCTCGCCTGCCGTCCATCACCTGCATGGAGCTGAATATGGTGCCGAGACGGTTGGTTTTCAAGATCAGCGCACTGATCGATGCGGCAGTGAACAGCAGAAAGAGCATGTTGTGAATGTGGCAATGACCAATCGTAGACCTCGGTACATACAGAAGCACTATGTTGATCAGAAAAGTGCAAATGGCCGAGCCCAGTACGAACGTCATGTGCACGATATTGGAACGCAGGATCATCGGTTCCCGCCGGTGTCTAATGAAGAAGACCAGAACGACAGCAGTGAGAGCCGCGCCAAACAGACACAGTGCAATGACAATCCATGACCAGTAGCTGGGCCAGGGCCAGCGTACGATGATCGGCTCAATACACTGTGTGCGATTGACATTGGTGACAAGTCCAACGTCGCACCTGTCACACTCCAGGGAGTTCACCTCCTCGCTAAAGTGACCCGTGCTGCAACGAATACACGTCCAGCAACAGAACTGCTGCAAGCTGGTCTGCCGCAAGAAGTACCCTGGCCTGCAGGGCTCACTGCATATCGATGACGGAACTGCAGGCTGTCGGTTGTCTGGCGGCGATGTTCCGTTGTTCTCTCCCAACGCTGCCATCTCCTGCCTGCGAGCCGTCATGTTCACACAGCCCTGCTCCGCGTCACCAAAATCAACACAGCTATGTGTGTACCATTGTAACCTCGTGTCATACGTTTCACCTCCCTCAGTGAACCAGTCACCAACGCCTACTCGAGACAGCCGCTGACGACCATCATCGTTAGCAGTTGTTGTCACTCGCAGCGCCTGCAGCTCAAAGTACGGGAATCCACTCTGGCCCACGGTGAAAACCTCGCACGTTCTATTCACACCGCGTATGGAGCAGGGCAGCGTCAGCTCGCGGTACGTTCTGAGAATTTCCAGGGCGTTGACCGGGTTTGTGAGCAGCGTGCACTGCCCATCACGGCAGTACGGCTGAATGGAGGAGGAGGCGAGCGTGACGCTAAGCAGCGTACGCACCATGAACAGAGTGACGGAAGCAATTGTTAGCTCGAAGTCCGGGACGGGGAAGTCGGCGTCACAGTCCGGGTACTGCTGGCTGGACTTGAAGAAAGCCGCTTGGCAGGACTGAACAACTCTGCTGGATATCGAGCAGTTGCCGACTCTCTCCAAGTACGTCCTGGCATATGGACTACCCTTCGCCGTCTGTCGGCCAAAGTATTCTTGCTTTAGCCCAAAGGAATAGCCAGCTGTCAGAAGGTAAGCGTCCAGGAATATGCGCTCGGGAGTCGGTACGAATCCCAGAACGGTTGTTTTGTAGAACGCGGAGCTGGTTGGAACAGTGCTGGCGTAATCCAGTCGTGTAAACCAGTCACTACTGCCGATGATGATGCGATCCGTAATGTTGTGCTGATTGTAGACTGGTATGAATGCCGTCATTTGTCTGGGCGTGGCGAAGATGATGACGACCCTTGCGTTCGGACTGTTTCGTATTGCCACAGCCGCTTCCTCCAGAGACTCTGGGTCCTCAGCGGAGATGCGCTGCTGCACGGCAAAGCAGAATTTACCGTCACGACGCGACCGATCACGGATCAGGTTGTAGCCTTGCCCGCTATAGAGCTGGTCAGCTCCAGCAATCAGTGCCACGTACGTTGCTCCCAGCTCCGTGATGAGGTCCACAATGGCCTCCACCTGGTGATCATCAGATGGTGTCATTCGAAAGAAGTACGGATACTCGTTGTTGTTGTTAAATATCGGGCTTGAAGCCCACGCACTGATGTGTATGATGGTCCTGGCAGACAGCAGAGGAGAAATGGCGATGGCTTCCTGACTAGCCATTGGAATGAACAAACTGTTTGAAGCCGGTCTGGCGTTATCCTTTGCGGTGAATGCCAAATTTGGCGGCACTGGATCGCCATTGCTGACGTATCGGCCGAGATCCAGTAGGGTCTCATTGCGCGAGTCCAAATCCGCGTCCGTTGCGATTTCCAGCAGCTCAGCGAGTGCATGGCAACCGAATATGGATCCAGCCGTGCCCTGGTCACATGCCCTGACGTCGTGGTCCAGCAGAGTGATGTTCAAGTCCAAGTCGCGTATTAGCACATTGCCATCTCCGTATTCAGCCACAGCTGGCAGATCACCGCGCTGTACCGACAGCACGTTCTGCACCTGGGCCGCAGCTAGAAGATTCGAGGAGCACGAGTCGCGGATGACAAACGCCACGTCAGAGAACACTTTCAGGTCGGCCGCAAGCTGCAGATAAAGCACAGACGAGTATACGCATCACATGAGGGCATTCTCCTGGATGCAATCTTTTGCACGTGTATCCTGGTACAACCCTCTGAACATGTAGAGTGCTGCTCAATGAAATCCAGTTGCGTCACTCAAGCTTGCGCCTTGCATCATTTCGCCGTCCAGTGTTCGTAGATCTAGGGCTGCACAACGCCCGGCGCGTACTTGAGTGACGTGACTGGATTTCATTGAGCAACACTGTGCTTGAGGCATTAGACACGTTAGACATGGTTAGCATTTTACCGTTCACGCTAACTTCGACCGTCGGCCTGGACCGTCTTTTGTGTGTTTTCAGGACATGGTTAGCCTTTCGGTTTCTGACGCAACGATCGACGTAACCCTAGTTGGAATCTTACCGTTTCGTTTTCCCGCTAAACAGAGCTTTCGATAGTCGAAGCGATACCAAATGGACAGTATATTGTGTTTTGGGTACGAGTACCGTTGGATTTAGCGTGAACGGTGAAATGCTAACCATGACTATTGTCACACAGGAGTGGCAGGACCGAAAGTAATCTCTAACCACACAGGACACATAGTAATCTCTAATGCCATTCTACTGTCCTCGAAATCAAACAAAGCAAATGCAAAACAGCATTATTTCAGCTCCATAATAATAGTCATAATTCTTCCCTGAGCCCCCAAAGCAAGTATCGTGTTTCCTCGATTATAAGGCGCAGCCTATTTTCAGGTCTGAGATCAGTTGTTTCATTAACGTTACATTGACATTAAAGTAGGAAGTCACACTCGATCATAAGTCGCACGCCCTTCTTTGCCTTTGAAGTTTAGTGCAAAAAGGGCGACTTACATTCGGGGAAACACGGTACATACACAATATACAGTAAAACCTGTGACTAACGACTACCCCTTGGGGCCAGAGAACGCGGTCTTTAGTGGCAGGTGGTCCTTAGTTTAGATTTGCACCGCACAGCCATAGATGAATGTGAGACCATCCGTGCCTGGCAAAGTGGTCTGTAGTACCAGGCTGGTTGCTAGTCACGGTGGTCTTTAGTTACAGGTTTTACTGGATTAGGCTAAGGGTGCATGCTGAAAAGGGGGAAGGGGGTAAGGGTAACTGATCAAACTTAACCCTTTCCGTGCTGGCCCCTTTTACTCCAGCAAACTGACTTTCCAGCGCACTGACTCTCCTGGTGTCGTTTTCGCTCACATGTCCGAACGAATTTTTCTCTCAGTTCAGTTTGCCTGGATGGATTTTCATCATCATGGGCTTGTTGGAAAGATCAGGACCAAGCGAATCCATCCTAGTAGCACTCAACTCAATATGCATGGCGGTGCAACTTCTATGTCCTGTTGAAACTACTTCACGATGCCTCGGAAAGGCACAGCAACTCGATCTCACATTCTTTTTCGGTTTCTTGTTCCAGGTCAGCCGATTTTCACTATTCAAACTGCGCTGCAAAGCTGAGATCCACGTGCTTTTGCTGGTGTCCATTACGCATGCGCTGCACTAAAGGGAAATCCCCTGGCACGCAACAGAAAACTGCGAACGCCCGAACAAAAAAAACTCACGATCGCTCAGTGCCGTGAATTTTGTGTTCACACCGTCGCCGCTCCGTCAATCTTTCTCCTATCGTGAAGAACTAACTTTATATTGCTGGAAAGCTGAGCTCAATACCTTTCCAACGGTGTATCGATTGTCGCGATAGACTGATTTTTGACAGAGTTACGAAAGTTTGTACACTGATCTATGCACAGCGATATACTGCGCAAATCTCATGACGTCTAGACGTCATTAGTCGTTTGGCGTACAGTGCGCATGACGTCTATAGACGTCATTAGCACGGAAAGGGTTAACACCCACACACACATGTTGGCTCACAGTGGCCAGAATGGAAATACCAATGTATATATTCATGTAAAAGCTTACGTCTTCTGCTCCAAAGGTCAAGCCATACTCCAGTGCAGTAGCAAGTTGGTATGCTTCCCATCCTAGAAATCCAGAACAGCTCATGTTGCCTAAAGAGAAGCTAACATCAACAGTCGCACAATAAACACACACACACACACACACACACACAAGTCGGCCTCAGGATCCATAGCCACAGGCAGTGCCACAATCTCTTTTGGAATCAATCTTATGTCCCGTGGTGTGGATTACAGAGAGCTTGTGCAATTCCATTAAAGATCAATCTTATGTAGTGGTATGGATCACAGAGAGGTGCACCTGAACGTGAGGCAGTGTTTTGTCGGCAGGGTTATAGCCAGAACAAAAGTGAAGTGGGGTCTTCGGACCCAAATGTTTGTGTGTGAGTTTTACAGCCATTTTGTCCGCGAATTTCACCTACAGTCCATAAAAAGATGGGCCCTGGCTCTGGCGAGCTCCCGTATTTGGCGATTTTCGTGATTTCATCGTACACAGAGCAGTGCTGCGAAATTTGAAATTTGAAAAAGGGTCCAAAAGGGTACCTGAACTGGGGTTCGAACCGCACAATGCACTGTTGCAGGCGGGGTCAAACAACCTGGATTTTTATGGTTTTTCCCAATTCAGTGCTTTTGGGGCAAAACCTGGCCGAAATCCTATTCTTGTTATGGCTTGCTTTTTGGACAAAAAAACTGCAGAAACATAATTGGAAGAGGATTCCATAGGGGATTGCAGAAAAACATTCAAAGTTTGACCCATTTATGGCCAAAAGCTAGACGTCCATCTTTTTCTGAATGGACTGTATACCAGTAAGCAACCGACCAACTTCTATTGCATGTATTTATTCACGGGCCACTGGAACCCGTTATGAGCATCTTTCAGAGGTAAGTGATGAATATACTGTAGCGGACATTGAAATCCGTTCAGAAGTCGAAAGTGAAGGAGGGCGCAGTGCCCTGCAGTGTCGCTCCTGCAAGAACCCTGGATCCGGGTTGGCACTTCTCATATACACGTACAGTGTGCAAATAACTGCATGCAGTATGTGAAAAGAACATACCGGTAATATGTGCTCTCCACATGATGATGTACTAAGTATTGGGAACACTACAATCGTACTCAAACCAGACATTTTTTTTCGATTTAGTAAAACGGTGCATTTGCCTGTACACACAGTAAAACCTGTCAAGGAGACCACCTGTCCAAGAAGACCACTGAAACCAGGATCAAGGGATGCTATTTCCAGTCAAATGACCCTGGATAAGGAGACAACCTGGTAACAGAGACCACGTTTTCAAGGTCCCTTGAGCGGTCGTCTTAGACCAGTTTCACTGTACAGTACGGCTCAATGAGATCCAGTCGGTCACTCAAGCACGCGCCGGACGTTGCGCAGCCCTAGACCTGTGGCCGGGAAATGATGCAAGGCTCACACTCGAGTGGCGCGACTGGAGGCTGAGTGGAGCACTGTAGTCTGTAGCAATGACTGCATGCTATTTACCTGCTATGGAAAGGCAGGATGGCTGCTTCCAACATGCTGTACGTCTTGTCATCGTCGGGATCCCCGTTGTTGAAGAAAGCCGAACATATCATTGGTGTGTCCTCCCCGGAAAGCAGCGGATGATCGAGGTTGAGTATTTGTCCACACGATCTCAGCACCAACACATGTACTACACCATAAAGTACCAAAGCGACCGTTCCAGACACGCCCGTTGGCCACTTCATCCTGTCCACCTGTCCAGAGTTTCCACCGGAAATTCCTCCAGCTGACACGTTTGTCCGACCCCTGCTAGGCCAGGGCCTAGATCGATGTAGATGGGCTATGGCAAAGACTGCAAAGAAATGCCTCTCGAAAACCACGCGACGTTAGTACGGGTGCACGTCCATCACAAACTGTTGGAACACTACAATCGTAGCGCTGAATACCAGCAAATCATGTTTTTCGAAGTCACTTGTAGCGTTCAAGCTTCCTTTCTAGTTTCAAATAATTCGTCATCCTGCAATCTGGCAATGGGTTTGCTGGCTGTGGATCAGGCACAGATCAGGTATACGGTAGACTGTCGCCTGAAACACGCTCGCACCGCAGGCGACGTGATGATAGCAACAGAATAATAATTATTATCATCTGCGAACAAGTGAGAGCAAGAGCCTAGCCTTAGCAGCCCAGAAGTACTGTAGAACTGTAGTAGACTAGAAGTAGACACGAAAGTCGGAAGAAAAAAAGGGTACCGTACCGGTGTGTTTTTGGTTCTGATAATCCGTGACTCAGGCGTTTGTCCGCTACATGTACTCCATTTCAATCATTCTATTCTTTTTTAGATGCAGATGACTCTAGCCTAGGTTACAGTATGTAGGTGGCAAGAACGGAGTGTGCTGAGTGTCGCCGCAGGGGAGAACTGATTCAAGACTCAAGTGGAGTGTTCCATACGTCCTTGTTTCGAAACTCGTGACCTGACGAGTACGAGTGCAAGGGCAACAAGTCCTGCGGGCGGCTGCCTACAAGTGTGGATCTCGAGGTATATACCGGTAGTCATTGTAATGTGGAGCTTGCTCAATGATCATTAATTTTTAAAACTACTCCACTACAGCTGTACTACTACTACTACATGTAGTACTACATTCGGACCTCGCATAACCGCACACATCCATTTTCCACAAAAATATCCGGATAGGCGAGAGAACCGGATAATCGAACACCCATACTGTGTGTATGCATGGCAAATGCTGTAAATCGGTAACCAGCAATTTTCTTCCGGATGGCGAGGGATCCGGATAAAAGAGGACCTTTGGTTGTTTCCACTTCCAGAATGCCAGTGTCTAGTGCCTACTGCCTAGCTAGCTACCGTGTTTTGTGCACCTCTGAACTCGTTCACGTAAAAATAGGAAGTTCCGAGCTGTAGAGTACTAGTACATGTAGTACTGATCTCATTCCGCATCCAACTCGTGGCGGGTTTTACTCGGCAGCACTCTGCATGACTGTCATCACTTCCACATGAAAGCGATGACAGTCCTCAGTCCTTTGAGGCTTTGTAGGGGTGACTAATAAAGGTACTTAATATTTTGGTGGAGACGAATGGACAGCGTTGTTGCCTTGTCGCACGACACCCACACCAGCTAGCTTCACCCTGGAGGTCTACAGACTAGTACTTCCTATGTAATGCCTTTGGCTAGTATGGCTCCCTGCCGAAGTAATGAATCGATGATTGTGTTGCTTTCAGAGCTGACCTGACAGAGATTGTTACCGCTGAACCGCTAGCTCTTCCCGGCCTACTACGTCATTGTACTATTATATTATCCAAAACTGGTAAACTAGTATTAGATAAGTACAGGTTCCTGCACGAGTATGAGGGCAGTACCGCGGAATCCAGCCCGCGCCGCGATAGCGGCAAGGGCTGGATGAGCAGCGGTACTGACCGAGTATGAGTGACTGGAACGTGTTTCCCATAATGCACCCAAGCCAAGGAGATCACTCACAATCTTTGACGTTTGAGTTTACATGAACCATTCTGTGACTTGACTCGAGCTCTGGATGAGGCTGTGTCAGTGTGAGCTGAGTGAGAGTGACTTCGACAACCGGACACGGACTACAGTACACGACTTTTGCATGTACTTTCAGACCACAGAAGCTTGTCATTGAAATGGTAGACTCATGAGTGGATTCTGTCCGCTGCCCGTCGTCAAGTGACGACGGGCAGTGGATTCCGTCCACTGCCCGTCGTCACTTGACGACGGGCAGTGGAACTAGTTCGATCACCATTCTTCAGGCAGGATCGCGCTTTCCAGCCCGCGTAATTTGATCTGTCATTGGTCGACTCCAAGGCGACAGTCATGTGACATACGGGAAACCTTGTTTCATGCTGTCAATCTAACAATTACATTGTACTAGTACAGGCCATGGCCAGGTTCAGCTACCTATCCAAGCTGCCAAGGCTTCAATTCGGTCTGCATTACTCTGCAACCGCATACCCCCGGCCATTGCTCAACACCAGCAAATAATAATTCCGCAGCATTCCGCCCCGGCATGAGACCACCATCCTCAATCAGCTCCTCACTGGCCACTGCAGCCTGCTGAACAAGTACATGTACTTACAGATTGAGGCCGCACCTTCACCCGATTGCGCTCACTGTCCTGGAACACGAACAGTTGATGATGCTTGCCCACCTCCTGCTAGTAGGGTCCCGCGGATTCTGCCAGCAGAAAAATTGGCAGAATTCGGTACTTTGTCTGGTAAGCTTCATGCATGTTTGGTATGTGGATAAAAAAATGGAGCAGAATTCGAGGAATTGCCGGCCAAAAGGTTTGTATGGTTCTGCCAATTTCACTGCTTTTCGAGCAGAATCCGCCGGTCCCTATCTGCTAGCTTGCCCTGCCAGACACCATGGACACAGCAGTCGAGCAGCTACCCCGCAGTACACGTCTATGTACATGTACCTTCACGTCAATCAGGGAGGCAATTCTCACACAACCATCTGAAGCTATCCAGTTCTTGCAACTGGAGAAACTGGTCTAAGTTTCTACTACATGTACACTGTACTCTCACAGTCATTTTCATATTTTATTATGACTTGTAGATACCGAAGAAGAAGTAGAAGAAGAAGTACGGTACTAGTACAAATATGCACCGTGGCATGACTGCAGTTTCCAATCGAAATCCTGCTGTGCCTCTATACTAGTAGTCCATATTGAGACTCAGAGTCAGAGCATTGTTGCGTTCGCCCCCAATCATCGGATGTATAATGACATTGTACATTGGGTTACATGGTATTATATAACCCAATACTAGTTCAAAACTAGTACAGTGGTCCCTCTATAATCCGGCACCATTTGTGCCACGGAAAACCTGCTGGATTAGGGAGGGTGCTGGATTAACAAATCTGATTTACTGCTGCAATGTACATGAAGAGGACATTTTGGCTACTGAAAATTGTGCTGGTTTATCGAGGGTGCTGGATTATAAAGTGCTGGATTAGAGAGGGACGACTGTATTAGATAAACCTTGTTATACCGTACTGGCAATATATGTTGCCGCGTAACGCGTAACGCAGGGGGGTGCGGCGTAACGCGCGACCAGGCTAGTGCGACAAATTTTCGTTAAATCGTAACGCGCGTCGGGCGGGGTGCGGCGATTTTCTCATTGCAGTTTGCACTGCAAAAAAAGGCTGGAAACTGTGAAAGCACGTGTACCGCGTGGTGAAAAGTTCAAAACTGGACGCAGCAGGAAGTCCTGACACTCGAAGGCGCATCATTCAGTGGTTGGCGATCTCAATGGTTTCTTCTTTCCCGAGGTCGTTTTGCGAAGAAGAGCGATGTGTTTACCAGTTTCCTTGTGACAATGCAGAAGTCTCTATTCGCCTTCGGCGTGAAGAAAATCACGCCCAAGGAAAGTGAAAAAGGAAAGGATGAGGAGAGAAAGGAGACGAAAAACAGGATTGCTGCTGATCGTGCAAAGAAAGTTTTAGTGAAGCAGAAGAAAGTTCGTGAGCAAACGAGAAAGCGTGTTCGTCGGCACCGCCAAAAGGCCCAAGCATCATTCAGTGGTTGGCGATCTCAATGGTTTCTTTTTTCCCGAGGTCGTTTTGCAACTGAATTTCTGTGCCTTCAATGTGGATGAAAAGAAAAAATGATGCGGCAAAAGCAAAAAAATGATGCGGCAATAGCAAAAAAGTGATGCGGCAATAGCAAAAAAAAGGACTGCGGCAATATAGAAACCTGTGTAACGGCTCCTGTGCGACTTTGCATGTAACGCCCTGCGTGCGGCAAACATGTGCCAAATAACGCTTCATGGCCTCACTGCGGCAACATAATATTGCCAGTACGGTAGTTCACGCATATCGCGCATATTGTTAGATTGACAGCATGAAACAAGGGGCTCTGCCAACCGTGTTTCCGAACACAGTGCTAGTGTCCTCCACCTTGTTTCATGCTGCCAATCTAACAATGTACATACATGTACATGACTGTAGACTAGTCATTCATTCATCTTGTCATGTAAACATGTAGCACATTACTAGATGGAGGGGTGCATACACATGTACAAAAACTTCTACACGACTTCTGGTTTTGTTTCTTGACTTCTGAATTTTTCAGCTTTTACAGTTTTAGAGGCCGAGGAAAAGTTTCAAGTCCTGCATGGTCATGTACATGTACAATGTAAGAAGTCAAAATACAGAATGGCTGGGTTGAATTACTTGAGTCTTTTGTATGCATGTACAATGATCATGTAGATCAGGGAATTACCCGCCACACGTCGTGCATTTACATGTACATGTAGTTGGTGTGAGAGGGTTGCCAGTTCGTAGGGTCTGATCCGGCTCAGGAGCGGTATTGTGTGGGAACTGAACGGATATTTGTCATCAAGTGTACAGTGTTTTGTTTTACTCTCTCATTGTGTTTTTTTCTCCATGTGGCATGGTATTTTTATTTCCTGTATTTTATTTATTTTTTTTTTTTCACGGAAAAGGCGGCCAGCTAGCCCGCGGCCAGAACGTGCTAAGTAACAGTTAGTTGGTTTTCAATGAATTGTTTTGAGTTTTTCCCGTACAAGAGGCGGTTCCACCTGTTTAAAAAAATGGTAAAAAATTTTCATAGGCGCTAGGCGCCGCCGCGTCAACATGTTTCAGTAAAGACGTTAGTACTAAAGACAAGTACGCGTACTTCACTCCAGTTGTTGCTACCAGAGCCCTGACACTTTATACTTCTAGTCGTAACGAAGTACATGTAAGTACACTAGTTACATGATCGTACATGACTGTACATAATTATAGTAGTGACGCTAGGCCCTCACTCAACAAACTGATGTTGTTGTTTGTGCAGCGTGCTCCTCATACACGTACAGTCTTGTAGGTCCACGTGCACATAAAGTCATGTACAGCCTGTGGTAGATCTAAAGCCAGTAAAGGCGGGTTTTTGTTTTGTACTTGTAGCCCTGGCCTGCTCTGCGCCGTCTGACGACTGTTGTCAGCTTTGAACCTTTCCCCTTTTTCAACTCCCTCAAACTAATGGATACATGATTGTAGTGTTAACAGGTTTGGCATAGTGGAGACGCCATTGGTTCTTACCGCTCTAGTAGTAGTACTTATGCATTCGAGAAGTTTGTTGCGTACACTCTCTTCAAGTCAGTCTTTGTAGACGCGGAGAAGTGCAGCTTCATGGGCCCTTCGAGTATTTCGGAGTCTTCCGGTAACGTCCCAGATTCCCATCAGCCTCACATTGCCGTTGCAGACCGAGTCGGGCCAGGGAGGTACTTCCGTTGATCCGCCGCAAAACTGGCCAGGTAAACCATGGCAAACTAACGACGTTACTTACTAACTAGCTGGAAAATCAGATGCACACGCACACACATACAATCACGGTTCCCAGGAATCGAGGTTCACTGGAATCACGGTTCACTGGAATCAGGGTTCACTGCTTTGACTGGAAAGATGCAAACGGGAAAAGTCTGAAGAAAAAAATTGACTGTCATTTCTGTGTCTCAAGTATTTCACCTTAGTACTAGTGCTTGTTCAGTGTCGGATAAAACTCGCCGGCGGCGGTGCGCGCTGACTTTACCCAACAGCAACAAGAGATTATCATTTGCCACACTATGTCCGCTCGCGTGCGAGTTTTCTAAAAACTCTGTGATACTAGTACACACAAGGGAATGGTCTCAAACTGCGGAGAGTGCTCAATGCAAGCGAGGCAGAGCTTCATCACACACAAGCGGAAAAACCGTCAGAGATCAAATTCCATTACACAGTGTTTCACCGTTCAAGCAACGGATCATCAGATGGATCCATCTGATGATCCGTTGCTTGAACGGTGAAACACTGTGTAATGGAATTTGATCTCTGACGGTTTTTCCGCTTGTGTGTGATACTACTTACTAGTACATGTATACATGTACACCCCAGGCACAGTGTCCAGGCAGGCTTTGCTGACTCGCCGATCACCACTGTCACTGTACTGGCAACTGACAGTGACACTGACATGTCGACAAGTTACGTAGTACGTAGTACTGTGACATTGTTTACACCAGCTTTGTGTTTTGACTTGACAAACACAACCCCTGTGTAGTTATAACTAAGTAATATTAGTTAGTTACTTACCTGAGTAAAAGTGATTTTTCCAGTAAAGTTACTAGTAATAATAATTTTAGTTGCACCGCTCTAGAGAGGAGATTCCTAGAGACGGTGTGCTATTGGCAGCCAACCCTCAGTCTGCTGCACTTGACTCTGTCTTATCTGTTGTACAGAGCCTACCCAGTGCAGTAGCAGCAGCAGAGTAGAGCATAAACTCCATCATGGCTGGACACCATGCGCGAATAATGAACAGCGATATTGAATCATGCGAATCTAGCCTGGCACAATCTCAGTTCATGCTTGCCGGCAGGTGCTGTCAGAATCTGCTGCTGTTGCTAGTGGTTACGGGCGCATTCTCGGCAGAGTGGGGTGCTGGCCAGAGCCAGGATATTGCCTCTAGCCCACTAGTCACCGGCGATGATTTGCCCAACATCTGCTCCATCTTCTCGACACCAGTAGCAGCCTCTCAGACTGAGTGGAGCATACTGGAAGGTGTCATCTTCTCCTTCCACAAAAGGTGAGCGTCTTTAATAAGAGAACGTGCTACCGATAGTAAATGAGGTAACTGTATGGAAGAGGACATTTTAGTTTTCCCGGCACATGCCAACCCTGGGCCTGCACGAACGAATTGAAATTCTATCTTTGATGACACATGTTCCGGTGCTATCTGGCTCGGTAAGACTAGGTGAACCCCAAGCATAATCGACTACAGCATGCAGGACTGATTTTCAAACTGATAACAGGATAATGTTAGATCGTATTGTCCTCAATGAAACCTGTGTAATAGTGGAAGCCTGATGTTCACGATGCACCGTCGGCGCATACGCCTGGTAATAGTGCTGATATACATGTGCATAGAACTGCCTGGTTTGAATGGAAGCCTGATTTAAGTTGAAGCCTAGCCCTGACATCTACAGGAATACATCCGGTCTTTAAAGACTTGCTGATGAGCTGATCTACTCACCTCCCACCGCTTTACGAGCTGCATCTGCGCCTTGATCCTCGAAGGGTGGTGGCGTTGCCACGGATGCGGAAAACTCGGTTTCCAGCCGAGTCTCACGCGAACCGTGAACTTTTTTTAACACGAAATTCTGGTACATGTTTTATGAGACAGTGCTGTCATACCTGTGATCAGGAGCATTTACGTAAAATTACACCTTGAGTATAAACAGGGCATAATAGTGATGACGAGTTGGCACAGGGTCCGGGTACGGAATTCAGACGGGGAAATCTGAAAATGCGTGTACATCATTAAAAATGACCTAAATTTGGTTTTTTTGCAAACTACTCAGCCTCCGCACTCAACCTACATAGTCTCTTTGTTGTTGTATTAATTTAATGCGGGCAACATTACCAACGCAGGCCAAGACCAGCACGTCGATGGATAATTTTGTTGCTAAAATCTCTGCTCAATTATAGGTTTCATGTATATCCTGCTGGTTTGTCTCCTCCTTTGCCTTCTTTGCCTCTTATTTGTATTCTTTTATCTGTTTTACTGCTGTGGTTGGCTTTCACCCTTGTCTCAGTTTTATTGGCCGTCATCATGATGTGCCATGAGATAATGATATAAATACAAATGCGAACTTAGAAGTTGCCACTTCGGCGGTATTAGTCATGAAGTTGGTTGTTCCAACGAGGAACACATGCTAAATTTAATGCACACACTTATTTCTTCGTAGATATCCCTAACGTCAGCTTCAACTTCCCCCGATTTTTTGTTGTATTCTGAACTCGTAGGTATTCTCTGGCTGAGCAGGTATGCTCAGAGTTCCTGGATTGGGAAGCCTTTCAGCAAGCCGCTGCCATGGACTTTACTTTGTACACCGGTGGAGCAAATGTAAGTGTACACATAGGCACCATGGAGACAAGCTATGCATCAGTGGATAGATTAACAGGGGTGGACGTCAAAGTTCATGTTGTAAGCTACTAAAATTAATAATGTAGAGGATCTAGAAAAGCAACGGTCTTTTCGCACAGCATGAGCTGAAGAGCCATACCGAACTCAATTTGAAGGTGGCATACAGCAGAGCAGCCACAGGACATAGCTCAATTTGGTGGATGATGGTGTTTTGACCTTGAGCATCCGCGCGCTGACTCCTCATAGTTTCAGGTATGGCTAAAGACAGGAACAAACTTGAAATGAAATCTTAGTCAAACCAAGTTGTCTTGTAGTGCAGATTTTGTTCTTGGGTCACTAGTGTTTCAGCCCAACCGATCGCTGGTGGTATGCAAGTGCTCTACGGTGGCCTCTGTCTTGGTTAGATGACTGCTGCATTCGCCGGAGTCTAGCGCAATGCAATTTGGATGCACTGGTTGAAACTTGCAATCCCAGTTCAAGACTTTGCTGTATACGTTTGGTGAAAGAGGGGGGGGGGGGGAGAGCAAGGGCAACTGATCTCACATTATCAGCCGGCATGATATTGCATCAGTGGTGGTGGTGGTGTTGGTGTTGCTGGTGGCTGTGGGTGGGGAGTTGATTGGTGCAAATTCTACGCTCCACATAATCCTGATTTTCACCAAAATTACTAGTTTCAGAGTTCCTGTTGACCTGGCGAAACTCTACAAGCTCCCTGTATTATGTTGTGTGTGTCTTGTAGCTTCCTGCGGTCCTAGAGGAGATTTCCACCTACGCTTTCTTCATGAGAGACTCGTGCAGTTCCAATCTGTTGGCGGCATCGCAAACCCAAACCATACTATCAGTTGAGCGTGGCCAGGTGCCGGGCGCATCCCTGGGCCAGCTAGCGCAGCAGCGGGTAGCAAACCTGAACCTCAACATCACAGCGTTGCGTGGCCAGCTGGCGTCCTGCAACTCTTTAAAACTCCATAGACAGGCTGTATGTGCTGTACTGAATGATCTTGTGGAGATTGCCACCGATCCCAACATCAATATGCGCAACGAAACACTGCGCAACTTGACCAGAAATACGCTGACCGGTGAGAGGGAGACGCTGTCCGACGTCCTCTTTGACCCAGATGCCCCCGCAGTGTCTAGCTTGTTCACACCGCTGACCAGCCGTGAGGTTATTGCCATTTCGCCGGTCCTGTCGGCAAGACACGTCCTGCACATCAGTGCGTGGGCGTCCAGTCCAACGTTCGATAACATCAATGAGTACCCAGCGTTCTATCGAATGTCACCGTCGGACGACCATCAGGTGGAAGCCATAGTGGACTTGCTAACTGAATTGGAAGCCACTTATGTATCCCTGATTGCTGGAGCCGATGATCTATATAGCGGGCATGGGTTTAACCTATTGCTGGAGAAATCTCGATCTAGCCGGAAGTTCTGTTATGCAGTGCAGCACCGCATATCTTCCATAGACAACAGCTCCTCCCTGTCCGCAGCGAGGGCCATCGCCAGCAATCCTGACGCCAGGGTTGTGATTATATTCGCCACTCCGGAGCAAATGTCGTTATTCATACCTGCGTTCAATAGTTTCAATATCACCGGCCGTATTGTCATCGGAAGCAGCGACTGGTTCAATCGCTTGGACTACTCCACCATTCCAGTTGGTTCACCGTTCTACAACTCCGTCACGTTTGGTTTCGTCCCAGCGCCCGAAGTGCTCTATCCAGATATAGGTCGGGCTGTGCACGATTTTAAACGCTCGCTACGGAACGCCTCTGCACTTCGCGCAATGGCTGAAAGGAATACTTTTGTTCGCCAGTATGTGCAGAAGCTTGGTGAATGTACTGTTGAACACACTGGTGAACAGGTTCCGAGCAGTTGTATGTGTACATCATCTACTGCATCAAGCCAGCAAAGTCCTGCGCCGATGAGGCAGTGCGGCGAGAACTTCACATTGCCAGCAAAGCAGTTTACCGTTGCCCCAGTGACTTTGTTCATGGCCAATGCTCTAGGTATTGTACTGCAACAGACTGGTTCCTTGCAGCCAATATGCATAGGAGGGACGTGCGAATTTCTTCCATTCCCGGCAGCTCCTAATCGCATCACCACTGGCTGGCGAAACCTGGAGTTGGAGTGCACTAGGCGGGACGGCAGCTTGCGGCGATGCCGTGTTTTCACTGACAAGCAGAGTGGGTATCCATTCTATGAGCTGCGTGTCATGCGCAGCCCCGGTCATACAGCTGCGACAGCGCAGGCAGATCTTATCTACGAGGGTGTCGGTAGCTGGGACGGGACGGATGGCGGCGGCTATGATAGCCGGTTACACTGGTACACTGGCTCCTGTGTTGACTTTGGAACCGGAGGAGAGTGTGTGAACATGACACAGCGTAGAGCCTTGCGGCATCTTTCCAATAACAGCTCCCGTAGTAGTACAGGCACAATAGTATCCAGTATTCCATTATCAGTGTGCAGTGTGCCGTGTCCTCGGGGTAGGTTCCTACGCATCAGTAACCCAGAGCAGTTTTGCTGCTGGCAATGCATAGAATGCACAACTGGTGAAGTAAGTACTCGAGAAAACTCGCCCAGCTGCTCATCGTGCTCCGGACAGCTCGTACCCAGCTTCAACCGCAGTGTATGCATCCCACCCATCATCAGGAGGTGGCCTTGGTCCGACAATTGGTCCTGGGCTCTGTTAAGCCTTTCCGTTCTGGGAGTTCTACTGTCTCTTTCGATCTTGGCCGTGTTTGCGGCAAAGCGCCAGGAGCCAATGATCATCAAATCCAGCCTTCCACACATGACGGTAATCCTCATCTCTGCTGCATGCTATTTTACACTCTCCGGCACACTCCTGTTTGTTGATAATTCAACATCTGTACGCTGTTATGCACATCGGTGGACAAAATTCGTTTTCACCGTGTTGTCGTTGTCTGCTCTGCTCTTCAAAACACACCGCATCAAGCAGATATTCAAAGCTAACACGCCGCTACCGAAGCTTGCGTACTGGCGAAGGACACTGCTCAATAGTAGTTGTCAAGTCGGAATGGTGGTCGCCGCAGCGTTTATAATGGTCAGTATTGTGGCCGCTTTTAGTGCTGGTTTCCCGATTCAACCAACATTGGTCTTTCTCGATGAGCGGACGGCAGCGTATATCTGCAATGAACCCGTCCTTGGCAACGTCATCATATTGATCCTGGCCACGCTTGTCAATTTGCTAATAGCCGTGTTTGCCTTCCAGGCCAGGAACTTGCCAGATGACTATAACGAGTCAAAGTTGATTTTGACTACTGGTGGCGTGTGCCTGATTGTGCTAGCTGCTCTCCTTCCCAGTCTTCTAACTACGGGCGAAGCTCTGCGTGCCGTTGTCATCAACTTGGTCCTGGCGACGTACCACTTTGCCGTCCTGACCACCCTGTGTGTCCCACGCGTTTACTGGTCCGTGTTTGGTTTCGCGGAGAATTACGTCCCACCCCGCACCAGCAACAGTATCCATAGTAACAATGGTGGGTATCCAATGGCTTCTCCAGCTGCGCGCACACCATCCTCTGTATCAGACTCTGTTCTTTCGGAATGTGGCTGCCATTGTCATCAAAGACATCGCCTAAAGCCACTACAAGCTTCATCATCGCTAACCCCACCAGCCTCGCCTTCCCCAAATACAATACGCGACAGCCAGGAGATGGTCACCAGCAATGGTGTGACATCATCACTTCCAATTGCATGATGTCATGATTTCCTCCTGACAGTAATTACATCATCAAGTCTAGATGCTTGTACCAAATCCTCTCTTTTATGGCACCATCATCATTTTCCGCGGCTATGTGAGTGGCTAGTGATACTATTTCCTTTGCCAGAATGAATTACCTCTTGCGATGTATACCTCGGCTATAACCAATGGCCACCGGCTGCCCTTGATCATGGCTGGCAATCTATTGAATTTTGTTGACACGCTTGAGTTAATGATTGCATCATAACCCTATACATACAATGTGCTTGTGTAGTGCTTGCTATGAGTTTCAGATAGGATTCAACCTTGTGGTTTCAACCTACCAGTAGAAACGTTATAAAAACGACTTCTGGATGCATGCACACAAATGCTGAGCTCGAGCAATCCTAGATTGCATACCTCTAATGGTATTGTGACTATTATTTTCATCATGAACCGGAAAATAACGTCCTGGATGAAGTGTCTTGATCTAGGATCAGTGAGTGCACGTGAAGAGTTTCTGTGTGACTACTTCGAAGCCCAATACCAGACAGTGGGCTGTGCAGAACGTCTGAATTTATTATTTTCCCTCGAAACAGTTCACGAAGAGACGTGGTTGCACTGAGTTTTCCGCGGCCCTAAGAACTCCACTACCCTCAAGGATGAAGGCGCAGATTTTCCTAACGTGGTGGGGTGGGATTTGGCTCTAAATCTCACTCAAAATCCACCAGAAACGGGTTTTGCATCCACCACTTTGCACATTGTGTAGTGAAACACCTGCCCGCCTGTTTCATGCTCACGGATGCTAAAAAAGAAAAGAAGAAAATGCAAGGACGCACTCCGACACAGTGGTGAGTAGACACGAGATGCAAGTAACGGTCAGATTGGAGTCCGTGCTTACTCCCGACCAGCTAGACCACGGATAGAAAGTGATCTGTGCGAGGTACAAGCATGCAGGTAGAGTATTGCCCAAAGATACTGCCTAACAACGTAGTGTGTGCATTCAACGCAATAAAGAAGTGTACAGGTACATTCAGTGCAATTACTGCATTAGTGTGACAAAGTAATGGCTAGTGGTAGGCTGGGAGCAACCAGTGCAATGTACATTATGCTAGCCATGAAGAACAGAGCATCTCACCAGCATTTAAGTAGCAGTGCATTGGGCATTGAACGGTTCACCAGCTGTGCATTGCGCAGTGTTCAATGTGTAGTGTGTGGAATACGCAGTTCCTGTCCAGGACAATGTCTCGCTACTAGATTATCGTAACCATGGTTACGTCAAGCTTCCACTGCCTCCAGCTGCTGTAGCAGTTCGCTCATGACATGTTCAGCATCTTGAGCTTGCTGGCGAATTTTCTGCAGTGGCGATCTGGTCTCCGGGGCAACCACCTCTGAGGCGACAAAGGTCTGGGGTGCTAGGACGATATTCAGGATTTGATCCACAGACGCAGTTTCTGCTTGACGACGCTTGCGCTTGGTGGAGGAATTCACGAGTGTACCTCGCCTGCAGACTCCCAGGAAGTCCTGGTCATCGACAAGCGCATTTAGCGTCACCCCTGGGTCCAGCACATCAGCCAAGTCTTCAGTTACGATAGACACTGTGAACTGTGTTGTGTCTTGAATATCCGTGGCACTGCGGCAGCGTCCCTTCTGGGCGAACGCTGGGCCATCGTCACCGTCCAGGATGTCACGGACGCAGCAAGAGTCATGCGGACAGCCCAGTTCCGTGAAGCAGGCTCTACCACGAGTTCTGGGTCTCTGCAATACAGGGGAAAAGTACAATGTACTAATGAGCAAAATTAAATTTTTAATGGTACTAGTAGTGCATTGTCACCAAGTAACATCCGCAAAACTAGCACATACAATAGGGAGGTTCCGGAGTACGATTTTTCGTGCCAAAATCCGTGGAGGCGCTACGGATATTTTATACGTCGTTTTCGAGCAGTGAAAAGTTACGGGGTACGGAACGTATGTGTTCGCCGTCATTGCCTAGGCTACGATTGCAAACACGTCACATTCCCGCGCTATGCCTTTTTATTTTGAAAATTTGTACCGAAATCAAAACGTCCCGCGGAAAATCGATGTTTCTCGTACCAAATTTGTACGCGAAAAATCTTTCTGCACCCGATGACGCAAAATCTCCACACGAAACATGGTTCGTATGAAAGCCAGTCCACACGGATTCTCCGTGCCGAAAAATCGTATGGAGCACTTCTGGAAAAAATCCGTAGCGGCCATACGGATTTTGGCACGGAAAATCGTACCCCGGAACCTCTCGTATGGCCGCTACGGATTTTTTCCCGGCGTGCTCCATACCGTCATACGCTTTTTCAGCACGGAGAATCCGTGTGGACTGGCTTTCATACGAACCATGTTTCGTATGGAGATTTTGCGTCATCGGGTGCAGAAAGATTTTTCGCGTACACATTTGGTACGAGAAACATCGATTTTCCGCGGGAAGTTTTGATTTCGGTACAAATTTTCAAAATAAAAAGGCATAGCGCGGGAATGTGACGTGTTCGCGATCGTAACCTAGGCAATGACGGCAAACACATAAGTTCCGTACCCCGGAACTTTTCACTGCTCGAAAACGACGTATATAATATCCGTAGCGCCTCCACGGATTTTGGCACGAAAAATCGTACTCCGGAACCTCCCTAATACCAGTCTATTACTTCGTGTACTCAATCTTCGGACAGCATGTGCTGTTTCGACCTCATCACTATAGCTTGTAGTAGGTCTCCTCAGCGGAGTTCAGAGTTACTGGCCGAATCGATCGCAAATGAAGTCTAATGAACGATAAAGCATTTTTAAACCTGCTCAAAGCGCTAAAGTCAGCGTGCTCTAACTGCGACGAACACAGCGTGCTTCGCACCAGGGCAGCAGCCAAGTTTAACGCTAACCAGTTTTAAAAACATCCGAATCGTTCCGTCCCCCACTTGCCAGTCACTGAATTTGTTTACAAACAAAGATTGCACTCGCACGATCCCATAAGCAAATACCTCGATAGGTGGCTGAAATTAAGGCTGCACTAACGAGCACCAGGATGGTTTAGAAGGATGGATATTCAGCGTACATTGTTAGATCCTTTCGGGGAGAGACACTTAGTATGTATTTTTTGAAAAGGCGACGAGGAGACAATAACTTTATTAATGCGATTAATAGTATAAGTGAAGCGGACATTACAAAATGATGAATGAGAATACAATCATGTATCTAAGATGGTTGTTCCTAATCGATTTTCTTGAGACTATCATCAGGGAAAAATCGTCTCACAATAGAGGCTATACGGAAAAACAAACTACTTATAGGTTATAGGATAGTGGGGAGTATACAAGGTGAGGTGTGCTTCCACGCCTTCATTTCACTCACCTTTTGTAGTAGCTCACACCGTCTGAACACTCTCACATCTTTTCTTCTAATTTCTTTCGTCTTCTCTCCCACTTTAGTTTTTTTTTCTTCACACCTCACCTTGTATACTCCCCACTATCCTATAACCTATAAGTAGTTTGTTTTTCCGTATAGCCTCTATTGTGAGACGATTTTTCCCTGATGATAGTCTCAAGAAAATCGATTAGGAACAACCATCTTAGATACATGTATTCTCATTCATCATTTTGTAATGTCCGCTTCACTTATACTATTAATCGCATTAATATGTATTTTTTAAATTATTTTTTATCCCAATGTGGAAATATGTGGCCACAAGTTATGCGATCGAGTCCATCAACTAAACCAGATTTTAAACAGTCAGACGTACACAATCTAGCACAAAACTGACACATTTGTCCACGTTACATTTTTTTCCTTGGCTCACCATCCGAGTTATTTTGTATCCCTGCATCTATAAGTAAACTGGGTAGAAATTCGGCTCTGAGCTGCTGGTATCTGAACACTGCATTCACCCTCAAACTGTAGGTACAAACTGTAGCTACATGAATATACAGCGTCAACGTTTTGTAATGTTCAGGTTTAGTCTGTTCCTAAGACAACAATGATGATACTGGTGGAAAGTGGCTGGGGTTACCTAGGGTTACCTAGGGTAGTACTCGCATTTCTAGTGACTGCTAGTATTTGTCTTTTTTGCAATGCTCTACTGCTGTGGAGGGTGAGTAGTGTATTATCGGGTTCGCCTTCAATTCAATGGCAAATCGAACGCAGGGATTCCAATAACCCAACACATAGTAGCAAGGTACGTGGAGAGGTAGGATGTATAGTTGTCGACAGCGTGAATCCGCTGATCGCACTCGGGTTCCAACCAGCATCAGTCATTTAAAATGTCTTGGATGCAGTACTGTTGTACTGAACAACCAGCAAATGCTATAATAGACTATACGCATGACTGTATGGGGTACTAGCATCAACAAGAGGACATGAGCTGGTTATATGCAGTACACAACAACAGCAGGGAGGTATAGACCAACTATCAGCGACCTGCTAAAGATTTAGTAGTGGCCAGTGACGGGGAGCGTGGACTTCTCTTCTCTCACAATTGTTTCCTCCCCTCCTTCTATTTTGCAATATACCGGTTCACGTAGACTGCACAATGCTCTTGTGTTAGAGGCTAGAATGGAGGTGGGGATTAGGAACAGGTGTGATCAACATGCGTCGGAGGACTGGGGGGTTATACCGTTGATGTATTTACCTGCTGTCCGCGTGGTCTCGATCCTCCTCGTCGTGCTTCAGTTAGCACCACCAGACACACCACGAGCAACAGCAGTAAGCCAACAGAGGATACGCGTGCCATCCTGCTGTTCATCAGAGTCTGGCTCTAGCACTGCTCTCAAGACTTGGTGAAGCACCCACAGACACACCGTCCTATTGCCACACACTGCGCGCTCGTCTTTCCAGAAGAACAAACCAGGCCGGGCAACAATAGAAGGACTCCGGGCTGGCTTTATCACTCTATCAATTCCTCTTGGGCCTGTTTAGTGTATGCAAACAAACGACGATGTCGCAGATGATCCACAGATTGAGTTGCAGTATCTCGCATACCTACTATCAATAGGCACTAGCACATAACTCAACACTAGAGGCTATAGTATACACCATTACAGTTAATTTACACGGCACGATCAGCACAGTCATGTCTTGTATAATACGTCAGGCGCATACTATTATGCTTGACGCTAATGTGAGATAAAGATTGCGGAGCTCTGGAAATATTTCGCGAACAGGGGCACGAAGAGGTGCAACCTTGATCTCGAGTGGTTTTGGAGAGCTCCTTGCACCGATTACCTGTTTTGCCAGAGAGACTCACGCCACCGCCTGGCTGTGATATAGCTCACTCCTATTGGCCACGAGTACCCACTTCAACCTGGCATTTCACCCTAGTCCCTGGCATGGTTTGTTGCATGCTGCTGCTGACTGTAGCCACGCTCAACATTCAGGTGTGTTCCCAATACTAACTTACAATGCGGTTTACTAAAGACGTCTTCAGCCATTCAGGGATTTCACCATGCAGCCGACTGTAAGTGATTATGTCCAACAGTCCAATAAAACAGCATGTAATCCTGCTAAAAGGACTGTGATTTGTCTATCAAGGGGTTCTGCTTCACCAAGGCTAATTCCTGTGTATGGCGTGTTAGAGATCGTCACCAGTTTGAGGGAATGAAAAGAGAATAACTGTTATAGTTGCTAAAATAACTTTCTTGGAGACAGGAACAGGAAGCTTATCAGGGAAAGAAAAACTGCAAATCTCAAGCTATTCCTCACTATCATCAATAAGGACTCCGAAATTCATGAACCATGCAGTTTGAGGGCATTTTTTTAATGAATTACAAGCAACCAGAACCAATGAAACATGAGGATAAGTACACTGTACCATAACTAGGGTGGTGACCATTACGACTACATGTACATGTGGGTGATTAATTTAGCGAAGACTGTATAAGAAAAAAGGGTAAAGAGAGAAAGAGAAGGTGAGAAGTGAGGAAAGAGGAACAAAACACTCACTGTGTACTGGTGTAAAGACAAACACCAAATGGACGCTACATTAACTAGTGGGATCAGCTCTACAAGTCATTAATACTACTATTATTATTGTTAGGTTGAGTTGGGTAACTCCGCTCTTCTTCCTCGCTCACCGGAGGAATTTCTCTAGTCTCCTCGCGCAACTGGGGAGCACTCCAATGGAGAGAGAAAGATTTTTATAGGGCGGCTTGGTGTGAGAGGTGGACTGAGACTTGACGGCGCTAACGGCGAATATCAAGACCTTACGGCCACGGAGCTGCGGGACTCTGCGCTGGTCGTCTATCCGTGTGGAGGCAAAGCAAACGCGGGCAACATTCTGCTGAAGCGAGCGTGGAGCTGAAGCTGGATTGGTGACTGACGCACCTGCTTACTCCACAACACCGGCGCATAATGATGTGCATGTACAAGACTTCGTGAGTATTCAACTCAAATTCGTGTTCCGTCAGCGTCAGTATCAGCAAGTACAGTCATGTAGTACAATTTGTTCCCAAAATAACTTCGGGACAGTCTGTTCATGGTTTTCATTTGTATTGGACTCGTTCTCTACACTTGCGATAATTTAGCGGCAATTCTAACGTTGTAGCGTTGTTCTCTTGTAATTTAGTGGAACCTGTATTGAGTAACTGAGTTTTATGTTTCGTTACATTGTCGTCAGATCTCCTGTGTACCGGTTTTGTGGCACAATGATTATAGCCATTATATTTGGTCGTCTCCATTCTTGTGCAATCATGCGTACATGTATGTAGGTTGGTTCTCTTCATGTTATTGTGACCAATTTCATAGATGTTGGTTGCCTTGTTGCTTTCTCTCCCCTCTCCTCTCACCCAAGCCATTCTGCATAAGCGAAGCTGTGGACGCAGCATACTGCTGCTACACTTCAACGCGGGAATGCGTATAATAATAATAATAATTATTATTATACCCAACGCTGTAGACAGCAGGCAGTTTCGGCCATAAAGGCCTCATCAGTACAGATACGAGCGTCAAGCAAGCCGAGCTACCAGCCACGGTGCAAAAGAGGCACCAGAGACATTCTATAAGATAGCTCGTCGCTCTAGCGCCAGAGTGCTCTAACTACGAAAAGGAGCGGGCAATGCGCAGCAGCACTAGAGCCGCCTACCAAGAGTGCTCAACAAGAAGAATGTCGAGGAGCGTAGCACCCAATGCTGTAGACAGCTAGCAGAGATTCATCATTATACAGTGTAGTATTACCTGCCCGGTGTTGCCTGGCCCGCCTCAAGTTTCACTATTTTTGTATTTCTCCGTCCAATGGCAGAAGCCAATGCAAAGGAGGGGGCATTAGCCAGCCATGGCAAGAGAGGGAAAAATAAAAGAATAACAGAGAAATAAAATATCAATCAGAAGAAAAGAACGCATCAGCCGGGTGAAATTTATCACTATGTTGACTATCATGGGTGAATAGTGGCTAGCCACCGTACATACCACTGGTAGTAGTAGCACACCACAGGCAGACAGTCGACTCAAAATGTATTCCTACACTCTGGGCTACAGGCTGTAGACCAGGAACGGGAATGGGATTTCCTACACGCAGAGCAAAGACCCCATGTGAACTCGGCGAGCAAACCACTGACAACAATTGAGAGTGAGGCAGGCTATAATGCTGCTGAGTACAGTACGGTACTGTGTTTTATGACAGCTAGAGGTGGTTGGACTCTAGTGTAGGCTACTAGCCTACTAGTACTACTCACCGACTTTAATACAGTCCGTGTCCTTAATGCTCGCTCCATAGGAAATACGTCTGGCGAACTCATTCAAATTCGTGAGGATCACAAACCCAGCGTTTATGCATTGCAGAGACCTGGCCAACTCTCACACAAGCTTTCCACGTGCCACACTATGAATGCTTCCGTCGAGACCAGCGACTTGTTTTAGGAAATAGACAAACCTGTGACCCACACCGGGGTACGGAGGAGTTCTTCTAGCCTGTAATACGCTTAGTTTGTGAAGGTCTGTGTCCTGCATTGATCAGCTACTGGCTTTTCAGCAGCCTGGCTTGGAAGCGCTAGCACTAGTGCACTTCAACTTACACTCCCCGAACATAATCTTGTTTGTTTCACCTTATGATCTGCCAACACCCCACCTGAGTAGCAACATGTACAGAATGGGGGGAGAAGGGTGGGGCACGCGCGTTGAGAGGCGCAGGGGTTGAAGTGGACCAGGAGGGCGAGAGGCTACTCATTGGAAGCTGGCTTCGTCACTTTGGGGCTGTCCGCAAAACGCCACTGGCGTACTGGGTGGCGGATGGAGTCAGGTCAAAGGGCTCTGTATACTAGTATAGTACATGATCTTCATATTCTGCAGTCACAGTGACTCTGGCACACAATGTAGCAAGGTATTTCGACTCCGTGACGGAGCAATTTAACACCTCGACGTCCCTCGCTTCGCACCAGTCTCTGATGGCATGAGCGTTTGCAACCGCTGCTTCCAACTTAGAGCACAAGTTTGCCGATGGACACTACCCAGTCAGGACGCTCGGATCAGCAGGTTCCGTGTTAGTTGATTCCTTCACGTACCTAGAGGGTACAGTACTAGCCCGCAGAGCTTGGGATGTGCTGTCCGTGCTTTTGCCCTGCCGTCCTTTTCGTCTACGGCTCACCTCTTTCCACGTGTTCTGTGTCGGCTGTGTGCTACATATGACAGTGTGCCTTGCTTCATAGCAGGGGACACTGGCACATACGTATGTGTAGGGCTAGACGTCTGTTGACGAAGCTCTAGTGAAAATATAGATACATGCATGAGAGGAAGGCTAGAACACAAGGAAGGGGAAGGAGACAAACAGTGCGATGCCGCAGAGAGACAGTCTTACATGGAACGAGCGAGAGTTTGTGTGTGTATCTGAGGTGATGCGAAAGACAGAGAGACAGACAGAGAAAATGGTGGACAGACAGACAGATAAACAGAAAAGAGAGATGGGTAGGTAGATGGATAGATAGATAGATAGACAGACAGACAGACAGACAGACAGACAGACAGACAGACAGACAGATAGACAGACAGACAGTCAGACAGATAGATGGATAGATAGATAGATAAATAGATACTCAATCTGCGGTCAGAACTGTTTCGTCCTTTGTGGACTCGTCAGCGCAGCACAGAGGAAATGAGGCCGAACCTGATAGCAATGGAAATAAAAATTTCCAATCAGGTCCAAACGTAAATAGATAGATAGATAACTAGATAGATACATACATGTAGATTCAGTCACTGCTCTTGGAGCATTTCGAGCACTCTTGGCGGGGTTTGCAGCTCTTTATAAAAATGCTTTGCTTCACAGAAACGTATTTCATTGCGAAGAGCTGCGCTTCGGACCTCTGAGCTGTGCTGAGGAGCTCTAACAGAGCGAAACAGTTGCTGTCCACAGATTTGAGTAGATAGATAGATAGATACAAGGAGGAAAACTTCCTTCTGCCAGCGGAGAGGACTCGACACAATAATGTGGAGCACTATTACACACAAAAAGCCACAACGGAGGTTTACAGAATTGTCGCAACTCAGAGTTTGCTCCTCAATGCAGTCATCAGGCGACTATAGTCGCCTGATGACTGCATTGAGCAAGAGTATTTTGCTCCTGCTCTTGTAGCAGTTGAGCACTCTCATGTGGAGTAGTGCCTTTGCTGTTTGCATTATGCCGTGCTCACTGACTTGTCTGTTTGAGCACTCTGGCAAGGTACTATCGGGCCTGGTTTAAATCTGGCTTTGGAAAATTTATTTTTCATTGCCATCAGGTTCGGCCTCATTTTCTGTGCTGCGCAGATAGATAGATAGATAGATAGATAGATGTAGATAGATAGATACATAGATAGATGGATAGATGTAGATAGATAGATGGCTAGATAGATGGATAGATAGATGGATAGATAGATAGATTGATTGATAATAGATAGAGAGAAAGAGATAGATAGATAGATAGATAGATGGATGGATAGATTGATTGATTGATTGATTGATTGATAGATAGATGGATGGATAGATAGATAGATAGATAGATAGAGAGAGAGAGAGAGAGAGAGAGAGAGAGAGAGAGAGAGAGAGAGAGAGAGAGAGAGAGAGAGAGAGAGAGAGAGAGAGAGAGAGAGAGAGAGAGAGAGAGAGAGAGAGAGAGAGAGAGAGAGAGAGAGAGAGAGAGAGAGAGAGAGAGAGGTTCAGGTATGGAAGACTTCTGCTGACGCTTCGCGCCTCAACTCTTGGATTTCCAATTCCAGGGCCAACATTGTGCTGTCTCTATCTTCTCTTATCATAACAATCTCGATGGACGAGGTTGAAACACATAATAGTAGGCTAGACAGCTGTTCCAACGCACCAATTGGACTTGCAGCATTCCCACATCCACCTTCCCGAGTTCGTTGACGAGTTCTGGAAGGATCAGTACCGGTATGACCATGGAGAGACTGAGGAGGAAACGTTCAGTCACACTAATAAAATTATGAAGATAACTGTTGGACAAAGGACGAGAGCAATACGAGTATCGGAGATGCCGAGAGTACATAACAGGTATGTACTCTTGGAGATACTAAGAGTACACGTAGTCTTGGTGCCAAGCCACACACTGGACCTTTGCCTGCTGCTCCTGTTTGTCAGCGATAACGACGGTTTACCGTACGCTGCAAACCTACCTCGTACATTGTTACGCTTCGAGCACACTAACAAAATGTTCCGCTTCGCCTGCCCGTTTCACGGCTTGAGATGGTGACATTCACAATACTAGTAGTAGTAGTAGTGTGGTGGCGTGATTGGTATATCACCCAGCTGATACTTCCTCCTACGAGACTTTAATTTCCACTTGAGGCGGTTCCCTGTGTTGCTTTTGACTGAGATGGAATCTAGCTCTCCTAGCTCTCCTACTGCTGCTGATTTTTCAATCTTTCTAGCCATTGGTTCTTTCTTGTTCTCGACTTTTGCTGTCCAACTGCTGATCTCGACCATTGGGTTCCTGCCATGTTCAGCTATGCTAAACCGAAGCCACTGCAGTAGAAACATTCCCCGCACTTTTGCCTTGGTGGGTTTGTCGCTAGTATCAACCTTCCTCGCTACAGCCGTGCTGCTCGGTGTGAAACGCTGCGACCCTTTGCAATTTTTTCAGGCGGAGAATCCCGTCTCTTCCACACCAGTCCATGGGAATCAGTATGCTTTCCAGGACGCATCTTCCTACAATGTTTGGGGCTCACGAGGGGCCAGCTACGCCTGGCCAGTTTCGGTGTCCGAACATCGCAAGTGTCGCCATCCGTGGATTGTCAAAATCTGCCGGAAACCCAGAAAGCGGTTTCTGATCCTTTCCTATCTGGGCGAACCTTATCCCATGCTAAGTGACCCGCCATCGGATGGACTGTCTCATTTCGGATGCTGTGATGGAGTGGACATGGTTTACACGAGCAACAAATCGCTATTTGCCATAGCTGATGCTGTGGAATTCCCGGCCGCTAACCTTCCAACGATGCCGACCAGGGCCAACAAATATCAGATTTTCATGGCAACTAGCAATGAAGCACCCTACACGGTGGAACGCCCGGAGAGGATGGCAGAAATCAACTTGCTTAGGACGTTTTCCAGTCATGCTGATATTCCACATTCGTTCATGCAGCCTGGCGAGTGCTTCTGTGCACGATTCCTGAAGCCCCTGCAGGTGAGGTTTGCACAGCGGAAGTCCGTACCTGTGTCGGCGCTGGTCAGCAATTGTGCATCGCATGGAAAGCGCCAGGCAGTATTGAAATATCTCATGGCGAATATAGAAGTGCATAGCATGGGGTCGTGTCTACATAATTTCAAGTCAAATGTCAGCGATCCTCAGCAGTATCTGCAGCAGTATCTGTTCAACTTTGCTGTGGAGAACGCCATATGCCTGAACTACATCACGGAGAAGTTTCAACGTCCACTGATTCTAGGAACCGTTCCCCTCGTGGTCTCCCAATCTGGTCTACCCGACTATGACCGAGTGGCTCCCAACAGAGAATCGTACGTTGACCTTGCTGCCTTTCCCAGCTTGCTGGATGCAGTCAGTTACATCAAGAACGCATCTCAGTCTGAATCACTGTACTTGCTACACCACACGTACCGTGGTCAGCCAATGAACAGTGAGAAACTGACCAAGACATTTCGACTAAACGTGTGCTCACAGAGTGAGGACGATCTAGGGAAATGGTGTTCGTTGGTCAGACGCTGGGAAACCCCGCAAGGAAAAGAAGAACTCGTGCAGAAATCCTACTACAACTATGCGGCTACAGTAGAAAGAGAATGCGCAAAGCCTGGCTCCATGTCCATACTTGTCCCTGACAAGTAGCAATGAATCTTATTCTGCCAAAAACCTACGCACACAGATTTGTCAGGCAGATGAAATTGGATTATTTGACACGCTCTTTCAGCTATCAGCAGAACTCGAACCAAGAGCATTCTCTTTCGGCAAGCTCCACTGTCAAAAGTTTCTCAAAACGCTGTGTTCAGTCTAGCCGTTATGAGCTCATTCAGATTTGAAGACTTACAACTGCGTGCATTTGCCATTCATTACAATACACGATAGTATAGAATATAGTTCAAGTAGTGCGTGAGTCCACGTTCAGAAGTGGAAATTGAAATCCAACGACTATTCTACTCTTCACAAACCAGTGCTCTTTTTTCTAGATTGCATATACAACGTGAACTGTGTGTGCAAGGTGTAAGTATCGTATGACCTAGAAACAGGGCACCACCTCCACAATACGACCACGAAAGGACGAGTTGGCAGGGTGCTCTCGTGGTAAATGTGTCAGGTACATTACGCCAGTCTACGTCTTTTGACTCTTTTCCTGTCAAGCCGGAGGGCATTAATGGCCGCCAATTTTAATAATAAATGGCATTATTTACTTTTTTGCGCTGTGCTTGTCTACCGGTATGACTACATTGACATACATGTACAACGTCATGTATATTTGGCCTGGGTATTGCGCAGTACCGGTATCCCACTTGGAAGTGTTCTCGGTACGGTGGCTATGATGTGTGCAAGACTAGATACATGTACATGTGCATCATCGTCATGTATGTACATGTACATGTAGGTTTGTCAAAAGTTCAATGTGGCGGTAGTGAGGTGTCTGAATTTCTGTTGTCGATTACGTTCAATAACATAATAATAATGTTGATGTCTCGGCCTAAAAAAACATTTGTATAAACTTCTTTTCCTGATCAAGATTTATAAACAATTAGATGCGTCGATCTAATGTCGCGCAATTAATTTGGAAAGGATGAAGTGACTGCCTCATGCATTTTCCAGTGTGTGTCATGCACAGTGACGTCCTGGTCTAGTTGAGAGTTACAAAGGTGTGGAGAAAGGTTGCGAGAATGGCCAGTATGTTTACTTTTTTTTTAATAAACTGATTCCGCAGCTGTGCACTGGCTAAAAATAGAGAGAGATCGTTCCTTTGTGTTTTAAAAGATATAGATAATAAATTTACCCCATTAGTCCATTACGGACGAGAAGCAGGGCTGTGTAGCACGGATGTGAAACATACCTGTGAAACAGGGCTGTGAAGCACGGTTGTCAAGCGAGGTTTTAATTTAAAGGAGGGTTGTGAAGCAGTTTGGTGAAGCAGGGCTGTACAGCATGGCTGTGGAGTGTGGAGCAGGGTTGTGAAGCAGACCTGTGACGCAGACCTGTAAAGCAGGGCTGTGGAGCAGGGCTGTGCAGGAGACCTATGGCAAGGCTGTGTAAAGCAGGGCCGTCAAGCAGGGCTGTGAACCAAGCTGTCTGTGAAGCAGGGCTGTGGAGCAGGGCTGTGAAGCAGGGTTTTGAAGCAGGTTAGTGAAGCGGGGCTGTGAAGCAGGGTTGTGAAGCAGGGCTGTAAAGCAGGGCTTTGGAACAGGCCTGGGAAGCAAGGCTGTAAAGCAGGGCTGTGGAGCACTGCATCCAGGGCTGTGGCGCAGGGCTGTGGCGCAGGTCTGTGGGGCAGGGCTGTGGAGCAGGGCTGTCAAGCAGGGCTGTCAAGCAGGGCTGTCAAGCAGAGCTGTGAAGCAGGGCTGTGGGACAGGGCTGTGTAGCATGCAGAGCTGTGAAGCAGAGCTCTGTAGCAGAGCTGTGAAGCAGAGCTTAGTAGAGCTGTAAAGCAGGGCTGTGAAGCCGGTTAGTGAAGCAGGGCTAGCTCTGTAAAGCAGGGCTGTGAAGCAGGGCTGTGAAGCAGGGCTGTGAGGCTGGGCTGCGAAGCAGGGCTGTGAAGCACGCCTGTGAAGTAGAGCTGTGAAGCAGGTTGTTGGAGAAGGGCTCTGGAGCAAGTCTGTGAAGCAGGGCTGTGAAGATGGGCTGTAAAGCAGGGCTGGGAGGCAGTGCCTCGGTTGGGAAGCAGGTTAGTGAAGCAAGGCTAGCAGGGCTATATCAGGGCTATGAATCAGAGCTGTAAACGAGGGCTGTGAAGCAGGGATTGTGAAGCGAGGTTCTGAAGCAGGGGCTGTAAAGCAGGGCTGTGGAGCAGGGGCTGTGGAGTGGATCTGTGAAGCAGAGGCAGGGCTGTGGAGCAGGGCTGTGAAGCAGAGCTGTAAAGCGGGGCTATGGAGCACAGCAGGGCTATGAATCAGAGCTGTAAACGAGGGCTGTGAAGCAGGGATTGTGAAGTGAGGTTCTGAAGCAGGGGCTGTAAAGCAGGGCTGTGGAGCAGGGGCTGTGGAGTGGATCTGTGAAGCAGAGGCAGGGCTGTGGAGCAGGGCTGTGAAGCAGAGCTGTAAAGCGGGGCTATGGAGCACAGCTCTGACGCAGAGCTGTGAAGCAGCTCTTTGAAGCAGGCTCTTTGAAGCAGGCTTGTGAAGCGGGCTTGTGAAGCGGGCTTGTGAAGCAGGGCTGTGTTAAGCAGGTCTGTGAAGCAGTGCTGTGAAACAGTGCTGTGAAGCAGGGTTTTGAAGCAGGTTGGTGAATAAGGGCTGCGAAGCAGAGCTGTGGAGCAGAGCTGTGAAGCAGGGCTGTGAGGCAAGGCTGGGAAGCAGAGCTGTGAAGCAGGGCTGTAAAGTTCAGCTGTGAAGTAGGGTTCCTTTTGCTCCAAATCTCTCAGCACTCTCTACAAGCAACATGAGGATTCTTAGCGCCGTGAGTATGCGGAGAGAGTTGCCAATGTAGAGCGTGGTTCTTTTACCCCTCTAGTGTTCTGTACTCATTGTGGTTGTAGTCCGTTGTGCACTGTTTTTTTACACGTCTTTGTCGATTTCAATGTGAGTCTTCTGGTAGCGAATACTCTGTTGTAATGAGTCTGCTACGTGCCCGTCTCTCTTTCTCCTTACTGAGATCCAGTATTCTTTGTATCCGTGGTGTTCGTTCTCGTCGGGGTTTCCCCGTCCAACGTTTTGTGGATAGTTCCGTCGTGGTGGCTGAGTCTCGCCTTGTTACGTAATTTTCTGATCTTCTATACTCTGTTTATTTGTTTATCAAGATTTTTTGTTTGATTTTTTATTTTTTATTTTTCTGGATGAAGTTATTGGTATACAGGTGGAATCCTGATAATTCGAACCTCCAAATGCCACGAAAAAACTTCGAATTATCCGGACATTCTAATTATCGAAACATGAACCCACAACACAATATGTATGTCAAAATGCTCCCATGGTCACGCAGAGTTGCGCTCTAGACCTTATATATTAGACGCAGATTTCACGGATACTGAACTGACCGGCACAGCCTGCTCATGCAAACTGAACTGACCAGTACAGTGTACAGTGAACTTCGAATTACACTTTGCTAATTTGGATTTATCAACACAAATCCCATAAATTTTCTATGTAAGTGGCATCCGTGGAACTTCGAATAAACGGTACATGTCCGGTTCGAGGTTCGAATTATCAGAACCGTTTATGTGGGAATCGTATTGACAGAAATCGGTCCTGGAAAAACTTCTAATTAAGCGGTATGTTCGAATTAAGCCATATTCGAATATCAGGATTCCACCTGTAGCTACAAAGACAACGAATTGCACAGTAAGCATTTCATATATATATATATTATGTCGACATGTATGTGTAAAATGTTGTACGATTATCGCAAGGCACACAAGGAAGGGAAAGCGAGGAGGCTTGTGGGGTCGGGTGTGATTGTGACCTGCAGTTGGATGTGAAGAAATCGGCAGTTTACAGGCATTTGGTGGGTCATCCTGATTGTTGTCATTCGTACTCGGATTCTTCTTTCACTGTGTTGTATCGTGCGAGTCATACTCATATCATTCAGCTTAATTTTAGAGGCAATCTTCATTCACTTGTACAAGCCAGTGTTGTGTGTACAGAAGGAAAGTGTTATCACCCTCAAATTGTTTACGTAGTGTATGGTGCGAGTGTTGTGAGTATGATAGCCCCCTCCCCCTCCCCCCCCCCCCTCCGTTCACACTTCCTTCCGTCTTAAGGTTCTTTCTTTGTTTTGCTGATGCTGATAATTCACATATGCATTGTTCTTACCTGCTGAGCTTGCCCCCCACTGAATAGATGTAGTATTATCACCTTTTTTGTTTCGCTCTTTTTCACCTTCTTTCACTTTTATTTGTCCATATAAGATTAGTTCAAGTAGTTCCCATTCCTTTGTTACGTAGATTCACTGATGATTGTAACAAGAAAACAGTTCTGAACGGATCCTCGCTTTCCCTTCCTTGTGTGCCTGGCGATAATCGTACAACCGTTTACACATACATGTCGACATAATAATATGAAATGCTTACTGTGCAATTAGTTGTCTTTGTAGCTATATTAATTAAAACTGCTGTCTCCGAAACGCTTGTTCACTTATTTTTACCGGAGCTATTGGTGTTTGAATTGTTTGCAGGCAACCTGCCTACACTCAAGAGAGCACTGCATTTCACACAAATCCATTGGTATCGTTACAACGTTTCGGTCTTTATGACCATCATCAGGAATGAAGTGGACATGGAAAGAACAGCAGTATAAAAGAAGGAGGCAAGCAAGCAAAGCGCGGTACATAGTGACAGCGCGCGTAGAGAAGTGCAAAGCACGTCATGGCGGGTGTGCATTACTACATATACATGACAACACAAGCACAAACGGCGAGGAAAGTAGATACTGCGCTACGGCAGTGATAACAGCCCAGTTCCAGTCTCACACCACCAGGCACCAGTGAGGTGTGTAGAGCCCCGCGCCACTCGCAGTAAGGTGGTGTTATAGCAGATCCCAGCCACTGTTGTTGTTAATCCCCGGGGATCGCTCCCTGATGTTGATGGCCTCCCGGATCCTCCTCCTGGGGCGGTCACGCTCAGAACCGAGAACCCGGATACCCGAGAAAGCCGTTGCTCCCAATGGCAATGGGTCGGATGCATGCTTGGCCGCGAAATGCTCACCCAGCGCGGTGCCGCTCACTGTGTTGCGTGCGTCGTCGTTGTGTTCTTTTGTCCTGGTGGCGAGGCTGCGGTACGTCTCTCCGACATATTTATCACCACATTTGCACTCGAGGTGGTATACGACGTTTCGCTCCGTGCATGCCTCTGAACCGGACATGCAGGCGACACAAGCAGATTTGGGCCGCCCCCGTTTACGGGGCCTGGACGGGTCTACATTTTTTTTTTTCAACTCCAAAGCACGAAAAAGGCCAAAAACTAAACCAAGAACATATGCAATAACATGTTATTTATAAAGACAGGACAAGTGAATAATTAGTCAGTCCATTGTTCATGATGATCTCCGACGGTTACGTCGGCAAGCGAGCCTCCGCCACTGCCAAAGCAGCGTGGGCTCCGCAGGAGGGTGCAAATTTCAAACCAAAATTTAAACGCCTACAACCGCGAATGCACATGATACAGGATTTCAGAAGGCTGAAGGAAATCCTGCATCTAACAAATGCCATAACATGAGAGTAATGCTCACCCCTCTTCTCCGCCAACAGATGAGCAATTCGTTTGTACAGTGCTGTTGATGCTGGACCCATTCCGCCACTGGCTGACATGACGGGTCTACATACCTGCGGCATGGTGGTTTGCGGAGGGCAGACGTGCAAATCATAGAACTTAGACGGCGGTTCCTGTAAATCAGCTGGGCATTTATCTTGTACTTCCGGAGTAATTTATGAATTTTGTTGTGGATATACTCGGTGTGAAACGGTAGGTTGAGGGTGACACGGTATTCATTCTGCACTCTGCCACGTCGGGGGCGCATAGCTCGTTCACGTGCCGAAACTATGACTGACTCTGGGAAGCTGTTGAATTTTAGGATGTTGGTTACTTTTTCTTCACTTCTTTTTAGGGTGTCAGCATCGGAGGATAGACGGACGGCACGCAGGAACTCAGAGGAAGCAATTGCTTTCTTTTGCTGGTTGGGAACTGACGAGTTGTAGTCTGATACCAGTCCGCTGTGACATGGCTTGCGGTATAGTTCATAGGATATAGATCCATCTGGTGAGACATGGACGGTCGTGTCCATGAAATTGATTGAGCCAGTCAACTCCGTGGATTGGTGAGTGAATTTAATATTAGGATCGGCATTATTGAAGTGATCTAGGAAACTCTGCAGAAGTTCCAGACCGAGGTTCCTCACAATGAAAACATCATCGATGTAGCGCTTGTACAGAACTGGGCTGGCAGGTGCACTACGCAAGAGCGAACTCTCTAGGTCATGCATGTACAGGATGGCAAAGGGGGGGGCGCTAGGTTATTGCCCATAGCCACACCATCCTTCTGGTGGTACACCTGCGCTCCAAACCGGAAGTAGTTAGAGCTCAGCACATGTGCGAGGAGCTCCTTGACCTGCCCAATTCGGAAACCGAACAGATCGATGCTGCCCTCGTGTTGTCGGAGGACTCTCATGACTGCTGCAATGCCATCGTTAATCGGGATGCTAGGGTAAAGGGCCACCACATCCATAGTCACAATGATGGTGGCGGGCGGGGCCTTGAGGTTGGGAAACGCGCTCCTCATACACTGGAGTGCTTCAACAGTGTTCTCCAGGTGTGCTGGCACGAACTGGAGACATTGATTGAGGATGCGTTCGAGGACTATGGAGATGTTTGTAACTGGGCTGCCGCAGGCCGCAACGACTGGTCTGAGAGGAATATTGGACTTGTGGTCTTTTGGAAGACCGTACATTTCAGGGAAGCTGTTGTCGCCCAGCATCACGGCTGTGTATAAATCCTTTTCTAAGGATCCCTCGCAAACTCGGCGGAGTATCTTTCGGGTCTCCTCCTCCCACTGGTCGATAGTAAGCTCAACCTTCTCAAACCGGGACTCGTCCGACAACAGGGATTCTGCCTTCTCCAGGTAAGTGGTCATTTTCATTGCTACAAATTTGTTGCTTTTATCAGATTTTTTTATGATGACCGACTCGTCCTTGCCAACCTTCATGAGCTGCTCACGATCAGAGTGAGACAGGTTCGGCTGCGGCAATCGCGAGTTTTTGTACAGGGCCATTGCTTCGCGCTTGAAGCTCGCCAGGCTGTACTCTTCGTCCTTGGACAGTTTAGGGCCCTGCTGGAAACCATGTGCCTTCAGGTGCCAGATCTTGGGTTCAAATTTGGCGGGACCTCCGTCAGCCATAGACGGCTGCTGTTCCGAGGACTGCCTCCACCAGCGAAGAGAGTACGCCATTCTTTCGACGCCCACCTCGACGTCTTGCATAACTCTCTGGTTGGCTTTGCCAGCCGACGGAACAAAGCCCGGCCGGAGTCTAAGGAGGTCCAGCGCCTCACTCGACACACAGTTGTCTAAGTCAAGAGCACATCCAGAGCGGTCTTGCGTCGTGACATTGTTGCGTCAACATCAGGGAGCGATCCCCGGAAATTAACAACAACAGTGGCTGGGATCTGCTATAACACCACCTTACTGCGAGTGGCGCGGGGCTCTACACACCTCACTGGTGCCTGGTGGTGTGAGACTGGAATTGGGCTGTTATCACTGCCGTAGCGCAGTATCTACTTTCCTCGCCGTTTGTGCTTGTGTTGTCATGTATATGTAGTAATGCACACCCGCCGTGACGTGCTTTGCACTTCTCTACGCGCGCTGTCACTATGTACCGCGCTTTGCTTGCTTGCCTCCTTCTTTTAAACTGCTGTTCTTTCCATGTCCACTTCATTCCTGATGATGGTCATAAAGACCGAAACGTTGTAACGATACCAATGGATTTGTGTGAAATGCAGTGCTCTCTTGAGTGTAGGCAGGTTGCCTGCAAACAATTCAAGTATAATGAAGCTGCGTGAAGCGTCCCTCAAAATTTTGAAGCTATTGGTGTTCTTATTTTAAATTAGTACAGTGTTTTTGTTTTGTTTTGTTTTGGTATTGTTTTCTCCTTTTGAATTGAGTCTATTGAGTTTGTTGATTGAATTATATTTTTAACAAAAATGTATGATTTATTGCATTTTTAAACCATTGTGTTAATTTGTCCGTAAAAGAGGCCTGCAAAAAAGGTTTTGAAGCAGGGTTGTGAAGCAAGTTGGAATAGCAGGGCTGTAAATCAGGGCTGTGAGGCAGACATGTGGAGCAGGGCTTCGCAGCAGGGTCGTTAAGCAGGTTGGTGAAGGAAGGCCATAAAGCAGGGCTGTGGAGCAGGGCTGTGAAGCAGGGCTGTGGAGATGGGCTGTGAAGCAGGTCTGTGAGGCAGGGCTGTGGAGATGGGCTGTGGGACAGGGCTGTGTAGCGGAGCTGGGAAGCAGAGCTGTGAAGCAGAGCTGTGAAGCTGGGTTGTGAACCAGGGCTGTAAACTAGAGCTGTAAAGCAGGGCTGTGAAGCAGAGCCGTGAATCACGGTTGTGAAGCAGGTTAGGGAGGCAGGGCTAGTCCTGTTAAGCAGGGCTGTAGAGCAGGGCTATGGAAAGGGCTGCGGAGCAGGGCTGTGGAGCAGGTCTGTGAACCAGGGCTGTGAGGCAGGGCTGTGGCCTGTGGAGTAGGGCTGTGAAGCAGAGCTGTAAAGCGGAGCTATGGCGCAGAGTTTTGAAGCAGGTTGGTGAACAAGGGCTGCGAAGTAGAGCTGTGGAGCAGATCTGTGAGGCAGCGCTGTGAAGCAGGGGTGCGAAGTTCAGCTGTGAAGCAGAGTTTTGAAGGAGGGTTGTGAAGCAAGTTGGTGAAGCTGGGCTGTAAATCAGGGCTGTAAGGCAGACATGTGGACCATTGCTGTGAAGTCGAGCTGTGAAGCAGGGTTGTGAAGCAGGTTGGTGAAGCAGGGCTCTAAAGCAGGGCTGTGGAGCAGGGCTGTAAATCAGGGCTGTGGAGCAGGGCTGTGAAGCAGGGCTCTGAAGCAGGGCTTGCAAGCACTGGCTTTTCAGCAGCCGGGCTGGCAGCGCTAGCACTTCGGCTTACACTGGCTGAAAATAATCTTGTTTCACCTTCTGATCTGCCATCACCCCACCTGAGTAGCAACATGTACAGAATGGGGGAAGAAAGGTGGGGCAAGAGCGTTGAGAGGCGCAGGGGTGGCAGTGGACGAGGAGGAAGAGAGGATACTCATTGGAAGCTGGCTTCGTCACTTTTGCCGTTTGGGGCTGTCCGAAAAACGCCACTTGCGTACTGCGTGGCTGATGGCGTCGGGTCAGAAGGCTTTGTCTAGTACATGCTCTTCATGTTCTGCAGTCACAGTGACTCTGGCATACCTCGACGTCCCTCGCTTCGCGCCAGTCTCTGATGGAATGAGCGTTGCAACCGCTCTTGATGCTAAGAACGTAGAGCACAAGTTTGTTGATGAGCACTACCCCAGTTAGGACGCTCGGATCAGCAGGTTCCGTGTTAGTTGATTCCTTCACGTACCTAGAGGGTACAGTACTAGCCCGCAGAGCTTGGGATGCGCTGTCCGTGCTTTTGTCCTGCCGTCCTTTTCGTCTAGTATGGTTCACCTCTGTCCACATGTTTTTAAGTTCTGTGCTGGCTGTGTTCTACATGTATGTGGCAGGGCAGTGTCCCCTGCTTCACAGCAGGGAGCCCTGCACATACGTACAATACAAATAGTACACAGCAATGAAGCAAACAAATCTCTTTCGGATACTGACTGATCAACAGAGACTATCGTAAAAATGGAGTTGTCATTGTGTGCAAATTGTAAACGGTTTCATTTTCTTTTATTTACATTTTTTGTTTTGCTTTGCAGCTGTTGCCGCGGTCAGGCCAGTGAAATCATGTTCTGTGATTGCCCGTATAAGAGGCTTAAAAAATATAAAAAATTAACAAATCTCTTTCCGCTGTTACTCGGAGTTTCGTGTGAAAACTGTCATCAGAGAGCATATGACCAAGACTAACAATCACTGGAATATATACGGAGGGTCTTGTTGTATTGTTTTATTTCAATTCGCTCAGGGCACAGGCAATACTGCCTTCTCACCGAAGAAAGGATTCTCCGATTCCTACTAAAACGAGAAATCTGCGATATGAATTATGTATGAGAAAAATGAATAATGGTCTTGAGAAAAGAGGGCAGAGGTGACGGAGGTACAACATTTTAACAGAGCGAGGAAAAGGAGGTGACAAAATCAGCGTGATTATAAGAGGACGAGAAAAATCCCAGCTGTCCATTGAGACTATCGCTGAAGTGCTCCGATGTGCCGTTCCCAAGTTACGAAGCTCGAAAGTCGAATCGCCGAGAATGTCACTCAATAGCCGCTTGCGCAGATTTGGATGAGGGATTTCGCCATCATCCTGGGCATGCACTGACGTAGAAACACGTTCAAACTGGCAAACGGACTCGTGGCAGTTTGTGAATTTTTTTGAAGTAACAGTTAATTGTTACGAGCAAGGAGAGCGAAATGGCTGATCAAGACGACTTCTGTCGGAATATTGGCGTTGCAGCTAAGACGCTGCGGCTGGGCTGTAGCGCTGGCGTTTTGACCTTCGTAGTGGCAAGCGTGGGCTCCATATGTTCCTCTTGTGACGAGCTTTCCAGGAAGCCCAAGATTGAAAAAAATCATCAAAAGGAGACTAAAGTTATGACCCGGGGAATTATGGAATTTGAGGCGAGTTGAGATCAAATTCAGTATGTGTACATTTTTTCAGTATAAAGGGTTAAGCTCGGAGTTGCACTGATGAGGCCTCGTTTGCCGAAACAGTCTGGCTGTCTGCATCATTGAGTAGATAGATAGATAGTCATCACACGAAGCACAGAAGCCATATTTTCGACTAGGCCTTTCATTCCATTGCTCTTCAGGTCGAATACAATGGTGATTAACAAGGTAGTAAGCAAGTCCTTCCAACCGGCACTTTTGGCGGGCAGAGCATTGACAAAAATAGCACTTCAAAAAGAGTAAAGCAATGAAAGGCCTAGTCGAAAAAATTATATGGCTTCTGTGCTTCGTGTGCTAATTTGCTTTCCTCCAACCAAAAATAGATAGATAGATAGATAGATAGACAGATAGATAGATAGGGGGAAGTGGTCCCATCCACCGCAAAGAGGGCTCAGCAGCGCTGAGGTGCACTGGAGCCAGTACACAATGGAAGCGCTCCTCACCAAGAAAACACAATCCGTTGCTACTCCGAGTTTCTTGAGTTTTTCAATCGTCAGTAGATAGATAGATAGATAGACAAAGTGTCTGAAGTCCTGGCTGCAAATAGTGCTCAATACCTAGAAAAGGGCAGAGCGTACTACACAAGGCAGAACAACAGAGACCAAACATATTTCTCGTAACTCCGAGTTTCGTGTTTCAAAATCACTCATCAGACGAATTATGACGGATAATGAAGTCTGATTAGTGCTTTTGAAAAACGAAACTCGGAGTTACGAGAAAGATTTTTTTCGTCTCTGTTGTTCTGCTTTGGGTAGATAGATAGATAGATAGATATAGATAGATAGAGAGAGAGAGAGAGAGAGAGAGAGAGAGAGAGCGAGAGAGAGAGAGAGAGAGAGAGAGAGAGAGAGAGAGAGAGAGAGAGAGAGAGAAGGAGAGAGAGAGAGAGAGAGAGAGAGAGAGAGAGAGAGAGAGAGAGAGAGAGAGAAGTGGGAGAGGTTCAGGTATGGCAGACTTCTGTTGACGAAGCTCTAGTACTTCGCGCATCAGCTCTTGGATTTCCAATTACAGGGCCAGCATTGTGCTGTCTCTTATCTTCTCTCATCATAACAATCTCCTTGGACAAGGTTGAAACTTGAAACACATGGTACTAGTACTAGGCTAGATGCACCGTTAGGACTTGCTGGCTGCGGCAGCATTCCCACACCCATTTTCTCGACTTCTTTGACGAGTTCCGGACGAGAAAGGCATTTCGTTCCCTTCTCTTCAGGATTGTGCAGGGAAAGGCTGAAATGATAAATATGACTACATAGCGTATATCAAGAGTACATAATCAAGCGTACCCCCCAGAGTGTGCAACCGGTTAACCCTTATCCAGCTCTGCATGAGGTCTTGGTCGAACGTAGTCGGATCTGATGTCATTCGTGCGCTCCACACCAGCGCAAGGTCGGTCTCCATTCAGGGCACTGCTGTTTTTGATTCGAGAGTCCCCGCGACTCCCCGGGTTCCTCTCAGATGTGTACGGGATTATTATAGGATATTGGACGGTTCCGAGAGGACTCATGATTTTTCGAATCCCCAAGGCGCGCAGCCCCGCGGGGATTATGAATAATAATCCTCGCGGACACTGTGCAATATCCTGTATAGACCACACTTTTCGGGTGATCAGCAGCATGAACCAGTACAGTGTGAACGGAACACTGAAGTGAGTTCTGACATAGTCATTTGCTCGTCGCCTCTCCGGGTTTTGATCCACTTGTTGGTTTGACTGAGGCGAGTGTGGGATGTAACACACTTTCTTTGGTTTGTCGCCCAAGACGAAGCCTCATGAACTCCGCTGCTTGTTGGTAGCTGACAATACCGTGAGAAAAGGCGGTGCTGATAGTGATCAAGTCAAGACGACGAAATAGTAGATATCGTACTTGTAATTCTTATTAACCACCACACCACACCGCTGCGCTCTCCGGCCGACCTCAACACGTTGCCACAGCACACCATCAGCAAAACGGCACTTCAGTTGGTACTCTGCTCCTTCAGACAGCAGCTGTATCGATCATCAGCATCTCGTCAGTGAAGATCGATAATGTAGAATGGCTAACAGATATTGAACTTCACCCTTTTGTATCGGTGTGATGTGGTGGTTGATAAGAATCTGGACAAGACCAAATGCTGCTGCTTACCCCTCTTGATTGTATTTGTAATTGTTTGAACAAATTTTGAGGTGCTTTGTTCGTCTGACCAGGGCCTATGCAGAGCTGTATCAGGCGTTGCACACCCTGGGGATGGGGGGTTATGAGCTTTGTGTACAGAAAGAATATGTGTTGTTGTCTCAGCAATTGTTTGGTGTTACTCCTCGTCGAGGTGTTAACAATGCCACATCCTTTGTTCACTACGTTGTTGTTGTCTTTGTTCTATTTCTCCTGTAAAACGTGATGAATTCCCGTTGTAAAACAGATGAGAACTAGTATTTTAACTAAGTTCCGCAGAAATATGCACAGTAATTGAGAATAAGCAACTGTGAGGATGGCAAACGGTCCAGGGAAGACGATTCAGTACATGTACCGGTATGACCAGGGAGATACTGACGAGGGAACGTTCAGTCTCATCACCCTTTCCGTACTTAACATAATGATGAAGATAACTGTTGGACAAAAGACGAGAGCAGCACGAGTATCGCAGGTACCAAGAGTACATAACAGGTATGTACACTTGGAGATACTAAGAGTACACGTACTCTTGGTGCCAAGCCACACACTGGACCTTTGCCTGCTGCTCCTGTTTGCCAGCGATAACGACGGTTTACCGTACGCTGCAAACCTACCTTGTACATTGTTACGCTTCGAGCACACTAACAAAAATGTTCCGCTTCGCCTGCACGTTTCACCACTTGTACGGTGACATTCACACTACTAGTAGTGTGGTGGTGCTGTTGTTGTTGTTGTTGTTGTTGTTGTTGTTGTTGTTGTTGTTGTTGTTGTTGTTGTTGTTGTTGTTGTTGTTGTTGTTGTTGTTTCTGTATTTTACTTCACCATATAAACAGGCAAGACTGGCGTGATTGGTATATCGCCCAGCTGATACTTCCCTTAAGTTCAACTCGTTTGAGGCGATTCCTTGTATTGCTTTTGACTGATATTGAAGCTTTTGACTGAGATTGGTATATCACCCAGGTGTTACTTCCTCCTACGAGACTTTAAGTTCCACTTGAGGCGATTTCCTGTTTCTTTTGACTGAGATTAAATCTAGCTCTCCTACTGCTGCCGATTTTTCAATCTTTCTAGTCATTATTTCTTTCTTGTTCTGGACTTTTGCTGTTCAACTGCTGATCTCGATCATTGGGTTCCCGCCATGTTCAGCTATGCTCAACCGAAGCCACTGCCGTAGAAATATTCCCCGCACTTTTGCCTTTGTGGGTTTGTTGCTAGTATCAACGTTCCTCGCTACATCCGTGCTGCTCGGAGTGAAACGCTGTGACCCTTTGCAATTGTTTCAGGAGGAGAATCTTGTCTCTTTCTCACCAGTCCATGGAAATCCGTATGCTTTCCAGGACGCATCTTCCTACAATGTTTGGGGCTCACGAGGGGCCAGCTACGCCTGGCCAGTTTCGGTGTCCGAACATCGCAAGTGTCGCCATCCGTGGATTGTCAAAATCTGCTGGAAACCCAGAAAGCGGTTTCTGATCCTTTCCTATCTGGGCGAACCATATCCCATGCTAAGTGACCCGCCATCGGATGGATTGTCTCATTTCGGATGCTGTGATGGAGTTGACATGGTTTACACGAGCAACAAATCGCTATTTGCCATAGCTGATGCTGTGGAATTCCCAGCCGCTAACCTTCCAACGATGCCGACCAGGGCCAACAAATATCAGATTTTCATGGCAACTAGCAATGAAGCACCCTACACGGTGGAACGCCCGGAGAGGATGGCAGACATCAACTTGCTTAGGACGTTTTCCAGTCATGCTGATATTCCACATTCGTTCATGCAGCCTGGCGAGTGCTTCTGTGCACGATTCCTGAAGCCCCTGCAGGTGGGGTTTGCACAGCGGAAGTCCGTACCTGTGTCGGCGCTGGTCAGCAATTGTGCATCGCATGGAAAGCGCCAGGCAGTATTGAAATATCTCATGGCGAATATAGAAGTGCATAGCATGGGGTCGTGTCTACATAATTTCAAGTCAAATGTCAGCGATCCTCAGCTGTATCTGCAGCAGTATCTATTCAACTTTGCTGTGGAGAACGCCATATGCCTGAACTACATCACGGAGAAGTTTCAACGTCCACTTATTCTAGGAACCGTTCCCCTCGTGGTCTCCCAATCTGGTCTACCCGACTATGACCGAGTGGCTCCCAACAGAGAATCGTACGTTGACCTTGCTGCCTTTCCCAGCTTGCTGGATGCAGTCAGTTACATCAAGAACGCATCTCAGTCTGAATCACTGTACTTGCTGCACCACACGTACCGTGGTCAGCCAATGAACAGTGAGAAACTGACCAAGACATTTCGACTGAACGTGTGCTCACAGAATGAGGACGATCTAGGGAAATGGTGTACGCTGGTCAGACGCTGGGAAACCCCGCAAGGAAAAGAAGAACTCGTGCAGAAATCCTACTACAACTATGCGGCTACAGTAGAAAGAGAATGCGCAAAGCCTGGCTCCATGTCCACGCTTGTTCCTGACAAGTATGAATGAATCTTATTCTGCCAAAAACCTACACACACAGATTTGTCAGGCAGATGAAATTGGATTTTTGACACGCTCTTTCAGCTATCAGCAGAACTCGAACCAAGAGCATTCTCTTTCGGCGAGCTCCATTGTCAAAAGTTTCTCAAAACGCTGTGTTCAGTCTAGCCGTTATGAGCTCATTCAGATTTGAAGACTTACGACTGCGTGCAGTTGCCATTCATAATCATTACTATACACGATAGTATAGAATATAGTTCAAGTAGTGCGTGAGTCCACGTTCAGAAGTGGAAATTGAAATCCAACGACTATTCTACTCTCCACAAACCAGTGCTCTTTTTTCTAGATTGCCTGTACAACGTGAACTGTGTGTGTAAGGTTTAAGGTGGCAGACTACCCAAAAATTCGCTGAAAAATCGAATTTGTAAATTCATATTGAGTGCTACGTCAGTTGAAAGAGCATGAATAGCTGCAAATTCTCTCTGCAGCACTGTATTTGAATGTGAGCAGACCGTGCGCCACTTGTCGCATCATGGAAACACGTGAAAGTGTGCAGAATTTTGCTCCAAGTCCAAAAAATCAGGTTTTTGAGCCACGTATTGGGCTGCACGGCGGCGGGCGAAGCCCGCCGCCGTGCAGCAGGACCTTTGCCAGCACCCTCGTGACGTTGCAGATATGTGGCTTGATTATTGTAGTTGACGTTGATTTAGTGACTTTGGCAAGTTTGAGTCGTGTCAAGAAGTCAGGTAGGATTCAGTACTAGGCAGTAGTGAAACGTGAGTGGTAGTCTTTGCCGGTTTCTGAGGGTATCCTGGATTTGGTGTGCAGCGCTGTGGAAATGGCTTGCTGTGGAGGTCCCAGCACTGGATGTTGTATCAAAGGTACGACCTCGTAGCACGTGCTAAACCCCCAAAAAATCAAAAATTGACTTGGGTCTGTGGGAGTGTGTGAGAGAACGCCCACTCGTTCCGTTGTGACAGATTCCAGGGCCTCGTTGAGGGGCCCTACCCCATCACCCAAGGCTGCTTCTGGACTTGTTCTAGGTTTGAGTCCCGCGTACGAACAGAATGAGCACGAAAATGTGAAAAAATTGTAAATGCATTTGTTTGGCTCCTGGGTGGCTCGCACATATCTTGGCGAACAGCCTAACAGCCGTCCTCACGTCAACTTACGACAAACTCTGCCCCGTCCGTCGCATCTGCGTACCATCCTTCAGCAAACCCAAACCTCAACCCTGGCTGACTCCTCACCTGCGATATCTTTTACAGCAGTGCAGCATTTGCACAGAAAGGTTCGGTCACGTCCCTCTGATCAACAAAGCCTGGCCGCGCGTGCGAACCTGGTGTCCAGGCACAGCAGCCCTAAGCTGGAACAAGGATTGGAGAAGGGGACTAGCAAGATGTGGGGTCAAGCAGCGGTACACGAAAACATAGAGTTTAAGATTTGTGCGCTGTTCAAAAGAATAGAGATGATATTTGCAGAGAACAATTTCAGTAGACATCATACGGTCAAACCCAAAAACTTTCTTCATTGCTATGTGACTGACCGTCACGATTTTATTGAACAGGGTGGCGCTGAGACAGTGCAGATAAGCGTTACTGGCATAGTCGAGAGTCGATTGCACAATGGATAAATAGAACGTCCTCTTCGCTTCAGGTGTTAGGTTTTTTCGGCCATGTCTGAAGGCGGCAATCTTGCCGAACACCGCACCGCAGACCTTCTCGACTTGCGGCTGGAAGGTGAGATGCTCGTCGATGAGTAGTCCGAGATACTTCACGGTGGCTGCAGGGGTGAGGGGCTTGCCTTTACAAACTAGGGGGATTGGTAGATGCGGCACAGGTTGGCGTGGGCGCCGAAGGACCAGGAACTGCGTCTTGTCAGGGTTCATGAGAAGTCCTTTGTCATCAAGGTAGAGCTCCAGAGCGCTAAGGTCATCCTGAAGCTTTCGCAGCATGACAGAGGGGTCCGTTCCAATGACGAAAAAGGCGATGTCGTCGGCATAGAGCTGAGAAATACTGTTCCGAACAATCTGTGGAACCTTGCGGATGTAGACGCAAAAGAGGAGGGGGCCAAGGACGGACCCTTGCGGAACTCCCCTGGTGCAGGGCACAGTCCCACCACGCTCCCCATTGACCACGACTTGTTGACTTCTGGAGGACAGATAGTCCGCGAACCACTTCAGCACCGAGCCGCCTAGCCCTACGTCAGCCAGCTCGTTGACCAGTTGTTGATGCTGTACACGGTCGAAAGCCTTGCTCATATCTGCGAACAGTATCGCGCATCGCTGGCCATTGTCCAGTGCTCTTGTCCACCTGTCTATGGAAACAGCGAGGGCATCTTCGCAACTGTGCTTTGGACGGTACGCAAACTGCTCCAGCGGCAAGGCGGACAGCTCTGGGTGGTCACGGAAGAATTCAGTAATCTGCCGGTGGACAACCTTCTCCAATATCTTGGAGGCAACGGACAGCAGAGATATTGGCCGGTAGTTGGTGGCTGCAAGTTTGTCCCCGGACTTGAAGAGTGGGCACACGTGTGCATGCTTGTAAGAGGCTGGAAAAACGCCAGAAAGTAGGGACAGGCTCGCACGCGCGGCCAGGCACAGCGCGCATTAGTTCTTCCGCCTGTTTCTACGCAATATGGCATGCGTTCTATTTCTTTCCTGGCGGCAGACAGATGGAATGCTCTTCCCACTGACTGCCGCCAGGCCCCGTCTCTTACTCTGTATGTAAACATGGTAAAAATTCACCTAGGGTTCCCAGTAAAAAGGCAACGCCTGTTGGGACTCCCCTAGTAAAAATAATAAAATCTACTACTACTACTACTACTACTACACCGTGGCACTATGCCGGAAATTTGAGTTTTTCCGGCCTGGAAAGCCTGTCAGTGAGGCGCAAGAACTTGTAAATCATGTCCTGAGGGCCAGCATAGTGGCAGGAGTGTGTGGTCAAAATTTCACTCAAATCCATTGAGAAACACCAAAGTTACGGTCAATTGAATGCCATATGAAATTTATGGGTAGGCTGCACATCACCCAAAAATTTCATATGGCATTCAATTGACTGTAACTTTGGTGTTTCTCAGTGGATTTGAGTGAAGTATCTGCTCAGCTTCAGGTAGGTCCTGTCTCTCCCCGGATGGCCGGCCGTCAGGCAATCATGATTCTGTTTGAGCAGTTGCAGCCGTACCGGACCGCGAGGAATGCAGAGGCGAGCATCGCCCGATGTTACTAGGTACAGCCTCCGGTCCACACTGTTCCAGACGTATCGCTCATGCATGGCGTCTTCGCTGCAAGCCATCAAGCGCTTGATTACTGGCGAAAGCTCTGGGTCACTATCATACCCTGCTGAGATCTGATTCGCAATTCCTTGATTCACATCCAGAGAGAACTCGATTCCATTCAGTTCCAAGTCTGGTCGACGTGACAACGGGTCTGCTATGTTACACTTCCCTGGCTTGTGATGTACCGTGTAGTCATAGTCGGCCAGGAATTCAATCCATCGAGCCTCTCTCTTGGTTAAGTTTGGTTTGGTCCTGAGGTAGACAACTCCCATGTTGTCGGTGTAGAGTTGAAAGTGGCGAAATAGGTAGACTCGCCAGCACTGCAGGGCGTACACTACAGCCAAAGTTTCTCGCTCGGCGGCCGTGTAATTCCGTTCGGCAGAAGACAGCTTTCGGCTCACGTAAGCCACAGGATGCCAGGACTGGTCCTCTGCTTGCTGCGTTAAGACTCCTGCCACAGCAAAGTCACTTGCGTCAGTCTCAACGCGGAAATCCTGACTGACGTTTGCTAGTCGCAACACTGGTGCATCCAGCAGAGCAGACTTCAATCGCTCAAATGCCTCCTGTCGAGTCTGATTCCACTCGAAGCGCACATGTTTCCCTGTCAGTTCCTCCAGGGGTTTGGAGATGGCCGAGAAATGGTTAATGAACCTTCGAAAGTAATTAGCGAATCCCAGAAACTGTCTTACGTGCGTGACCGTCGTCGGGACAGGCCAGTTATGCACGGCCTTGATCTTCTCTGGATCTGGAGAAATGCATTGGCCGTCTATCCGGTGCCCAAGAAACAGAACGTCTGTCCGGCCGAATTCACATTTAGACGGTTTGCAATATAGCTCATTCCTCCTGAGGGCGTTTAAGATGGTTCTGACATGATCGAGGTGCTCCTCCCATGATTTGCTGAATATGAGGATATCGTCTAGAAACACCACAACGAATTTACGCAGGTATGGCTGGAGGACACTGTTCATCAAGGTTTGGAATGTTGCCGGGGCATTTGTTAGGCCGAAACCCATCACTGTGAACTGAAAGTGACCGAATGGGGTATTTATTGCTGTCTTCGGAATATCTGTTTCTTCTATTCGAATCTGATTGTAACCGGACCTCAGATCTAGCTTGGTGAAATACGCACTGCCTTGGACGGTATCAAAGAGGTCGTCAATATTCGGTAGGCATGCCTTGTTCTTAATGGTTATGCGGTTTAGCTCACGCCAGTCGCATACCATTCGAAGTGTTCCATCCGCTTTCTTAACGAAGAACACAGGGGCTCCGTATGGGGATTTGCTGGGCTGGATGAATCCTCTACGGAGCAGCTCGGTGAGCTGAGCTTGAAGCTCATCCATCTCTGGTTTTGGTAAACGATATGCTGCACGAGATGGCGGTTTAGCTCCTTCTTCTGTTTTTATCTCGTGATCTGCGCCTCTTCTGGGTGGCAGCTTGTTTGGAAGCTCATCGGGAAAGACGTCCCCGAACTCCTTCAGCAGGTCCTTGACATCCTTCTGATCCTCCCTACCCGGACTATCCACCGTCTGTGGCTCGTCCGGATCTGCTGTCACATACGCTAGGATTCCTTCTGCGCCACCTCTAATTGCATGCCTAGCCTGCTTCCCTGAGATGAGGAACGTCTCGATCGGTGGGTTAGATTTGTCCGTGCCATCACTTTCACTCGGTTGACAGATGATGGATCCACCCTCCAGCTTGATTTCATTGGTACGAAAATTGATCTGTGGGTT